TATGATTTTTTGAAAATGGTGCGAACGAACTTTCGGGACAACCTAATACGATGTCGTCCTCCACTTGCTTCATTCAATTCGTTTTAAGTGGACGATACTGAGTCTTCATGCTACGGCAACTCACCAATGTCAGTAACGTCCCTCACCAACCTTCCACCCACTGATGACAAATGACTGAACTGTCACACTGATGACAGCTTAAGTAGTCGTGGGTATCTTATAACTGACAGTACGATATGAACGGCATAAGATCGCTGGTGATAGATAGCTGTTCATTTTTGCCGTTCATCTTTAGTTGACGCGAGAGAATGAACGACGCTTCCAGTGCTTTGCGAGCCGCAATTTTAATTTCATACGCCAGCATCGTGCACTTAACGCAAAAATCGTTACCGCCCTGATGCTCTAGGTTTCCGGAGTGGACTCATTGTGCTCCCCCGTTTCTTACTGACTAGATGTTCGTTAGCGCGGATTCTGAGTAAACGCCCCGTCTCTCCGATATAGGTTGCATGACAATCCAAACATTCGAGTTCGTAGACCACGCCAAACTTGCCACAATCTCCTACTCCGCCATTAGGACACACAACGCAGTTCTGTGTGATACAAGCCGTATCATAAAGACGATTACGTACTAGCTGTCGCTTGATGTTGCTCGCAGGAATGTTTACCAGTACAACATCTCGGTTCAGCTGTGCTTGTGTGAGACAACGTTTGAACTCGTTTGTGACCTTGTCAGAGATGAATGGTAAACTCAAGGGAATCATGGCTCCAGTTTGGTCATGTTGTTTGCCATTAGGTGTTCTTCCCGAATTCTGGATCTTGCTGGAAAATAGCCGTTGTTTTCTGCAACCTTCCTTGCAAGCTTGAGAGATTCTTGTTTTTCTACCTCGCCACTGCAAACCTCTGTGGCTGTTTTAAACATGTTGCGCACAACTGCTCTTTTGACCGCGACTGGATGGCCAGATTTAGCATGTAAAATGATATTTTTGGAATGCTCCTTACGATACCATTTTACGAGGACGCTGCCATCTGATAACATCAGCTGTGTGCTGAGGTACGGTAACCAGCCGTTCTGGGGCTTCTCTCTGGTGAACTTTATGTATTGCGATTGCTCGTTCAACACGCGAAAACACTCGTCCATTTCGGACTGTGTTGATGTTACGATCAGACAGTCATCAACATATCGACAATACATAATTGGACATCTGGATAGCACCGGCCTCTCTATCCTCTCATGAAACAGATAACTGGGACAGGTGGTAACCTTTGTCCCATTGCCAGCCCTCTCAACTGCGAATAGTAGACTCCCGACCACTTGAAGATGTTACCGTTGAGACATTCCTTAATAAGAGTCATGATACGCGCTTTGCTGAGACCATACATCGATATGGAATAGCCGTGAACATCAATCATCTCAGAAAGCGCTTGAAGAGCATCAGTGTTGGAAACGTTTGTGTAGAGTGATGTTACATCAAATGACTCCATTACGCAGCTATGGTGGAATTTAGCTTGCCGTAATCGCTCAAGGAAATGTCCAGTGTTGGGCAAGTGAGACGGGACTTTGCACAGGAGTTGGGCAACAATTTTGTTCAGAAACCATGAGATCCCACTTCTTATAAGCCTCGTAAAATGGTATCGTAAGGAGCATTCCAAAAATATCATTTTACACGCTAAATCTGGCCATCCAGTCGCGGTCAAAAGAGCAGTTGTGCGCAACATGTTTAAAACAGCCACAGAGGTTTGCAGTGGCGAGGTAGAAAAACAAGAATCTCTCAAGCTTGCAAGGAAGGTTGCAGAAAACAACGGCTATTTTCCAGCAAGATCCAGAATTCGGGAAGAACACCTAATGGCAAACAACATGACCAAACTGGAGCCATGATTCCCTTGAGTTTACCATTCATCTCTGACAAGGTCACAAACGAGTTCAAACGTTGTCTCACACAAGCACAGCTGAACCGAGATGTTGTACTGGTAAACATTCCTGCGAGCAACATCAAGCGACAGCTAGTACGTAATCGTCTTTATGATACGGCTTGTATCACACAGAACTGCGTTGTGTGTCCTAATGGCGGAGTAGGAGATTGTGCCAAGTTTGGCGTGGTCTACGAACTCGAATGTTTGGATTGTCATGCAACCTATATCGGAGAGACGGGTCGTTTACTCAGAATCCGCGTTAACGAACATCTAGTCAGTAAGAAACGGGGGAGCACAATGAGTCCACTCCGGAAACCTAGAGCAGATCAGGGCGGTAACGATTTTTGCGTTTAGTGCACGATCTTGGCGTATGAAATTAAAATTGCGGCTCGCAAAGCACTGGAAGCGTCGTTCATTCTCTCGCGTCAACTAAAGATGAACGGCAAAAATGAACAGCTATCTATCACCAGCGATCTTATGCCGTTCATATCGTACTGTCAGTTATAAGATACCCACGACTACTTAAGCTGTCATCAGTGTGACAGTTCAGTCATTTGTCATCAGTGGGTGGAAGGTTGGTGAGCGACGTTACTGACATTGGTGAGTTGCCGTAGCATGAAGACTCGGTACCGTCCACTTAAAACGAATTGAATGAAGCAAGTAGAGGACGGCATCGTATAAAGCAGCGAATACTGAGCGAGACTATCTTTCAGGCCTCTGAGGATCGTCCCTAACCATCCCAACTGGGAAAGGGATTCGACAAGGCCGCACAAGATTGCGGCTTTGCAATGGGTAATGAAGTCACTGAGCTGGGACGAGAAAAAGGCATACGAGACAATGGGAATCTTTCTTTCAATCTTCGTTGTCAGAGGGAGATACTCCGCTTGCGTACAGTCCTATCCCTCTACAGTGACGTACTTGACTACCATCGATTCTCACAACTATGTCGACATTCTAGTGTACACTCTGTATCCATTGTTCTTTCCATAGGTAAGCAGGTGCATTCTTCAACCACTTTTTCAATAACGGTACCTCGCCAAATTCGATTAAAAAAACATACAAGTTAGTAGGACTGTGGACGGTGGTTTTTAAACTTGACGGCGGCTCACTCTCTCCATTCCGCGAAGAGTAATTCTCACAATCAGCAACTTACAACCTCCCCTTCTGCGCAAAGAGTAGAATTTACTGTTAACCCAAGAAAGTTAGTCTGATGCGCGTAGAACTTGAACAACGCGAAGCCTTTGGCATCTTCGTCTTTCCGGTATACGTTTGGCGAAGCATTAGAGACATCTGAACGAGTGTCAAACCTTTACCGCAAAGTACATGGTCCTTAGTACCACGTCATCTCGCTGCCTTTCACACTTTTGAACGTGTTAACCTCGGGCACTTCCGTTGAAACCTCAGGAGAAGCGTGTCAAAAAGAGCGAAGGGCAGCGTCGCACCACGTACGCACGCTGGTTCATATGGGAACCTCTCTGGGGCGCAGACGGTATGCTTTTGTCACATGTGGCAGAGTTGCTAACGAAAGATCACAAAGAACAATGCTGTAAAGGGTTCACAAGTTCACCAACGTGTTCAATGTTTGCAAATGCTCCGCCCTACGTACATCGGAAGACAATGATACTTTGGTAGCGATGAGTTAGCCAGTTTCTCTACTTGAGTTAGTTTTCAAATGAGTGGTTTGAGATGCCGCTATGACCCAAGCGAGCCTCTATCCGGCATAGCAAATTATTACCACATAACCTAGGAACACTGAAGCAATGATCTGATAACCGGCTAACACCTGCAAGTCAAAAGGTCTGTATGCAGACGGTAGTCTGTTCAACTATGAAGTAAGGCGTTTGTTCGAGAAGGCACCAAACTGTATCCTTATAGTTGCGCAAAATTTGCGGTACTTCCGACCAAACAATCATGACAGTACAACATCGACTCCTTTGCTATAGCAAGTTAAATAATTTCCCTGCACTATTGTGGTTTTTTTCGTCTAATAGTAGCGAGGCTACGTGAGGCGTACCAGGGTGGCGGATAGGGGACTAATCGCCAACCAAAAGCACCCCGCGCATGCTCTGATAGCAAGCGGAGCGGGGGACGGACTCTCTGCTTTCATCAAAAGCTTGCATACCTGTTTCCCGGGTAAGTGGGAAAAGCGGGCTCGCAGTTGCCTCTACCAAATAAGCTCGGACCGTCCTGGCGGGAGATTTTGAACCCAACAAGCTACTTCTGCTAGTAATTCAAGCGTTAAACAAGTGATATATTGGAAAGCTCCCTTGAAGGCAGCAGCTCGGCGAATTCTCGACTTGAAGTTTTTTTTTGCTTACCTGAGGTAATTCGAGGCGCTGATCCCGAAAATCCACCTTGAAGAGCGCGAAAATGGCAAAAATCACCATTTCAAAAGGCATCCCATTTTGAATTTGGACGAGTGGAACACGTCCTACCATGGTTAGGGAACGGCCATAGGTTGCCGAGGTTGCCGGCGGGACGTGTTGCCGAGATTGCCGGTGCTGCCCAGGTTGCTGGGGTTGCCGGCGTTGCCGCTCGTCGTAGGACCTCACGTTAGCCCCGTCTTCCGCGCACTCTCTAAGCTGTCTCTGATATCGGCAACGCCGGCAACCTCGGCAATCCAACAACCTCGGCAACTTTGCCTGTAACCTATGGCCGTTCCCTTAGGCAGAATCGTTGCGAGTCCTCGCAGTTATAAGATTGCAGCATGCCTTCTCTGACCGGTCAGTGTATCGGTGGTTCTAGGCTTTACTGTAGCCTGAGGCGAAATAGCGCCTGGTTGAGTGTGTTATATAGAACACATTAGCTAATGAGCTTTATGAACAGGCGACCTGCACTCGTGGGTGCTGTGGTAGAATGCTAACGATAATAAGTGTGGCAATATAAATTACTAGGCATCTGGGCAGTAAACAGACTTATATCACAGCAGGTCATGCTTATGGCATGACCTGTACGGTACTTATTCAGTGAGATACAGGCGAAGTGATATAGAATTAAGGGGGTGCCGACAATACCGGCACACTCCCGCCGGCAGAAGGAACAAGGAATGTTGGAAGTAATAGCAAACCTAAGCATGCAGCAGCAATTGTCTATAAAGCGGTGGCGTTTGTCTGGATCTCGTAGAGGTCGTTGCTGCACCGCGACGCCATTGAAGATAAGGCTCCGGCGAGTTGAACGGCTGCCATGAAATGGAGAGAAAGACGGCTGTGAACTAGAATAATGTAGAGTATCACGCTTTCGTTGATTATTGTAAGCTAGTGAATACGAATGGAGAGATTTACGGGTACAGTTCTTATCGTGGCTAATCTTGCTCGATGTTGTAACTTTTTGCCTTTTAGTGACAGCAGTGTATGCGTTTGCCTGTAGCATTCTAGGGGTAATGACTTGTGCTGAGGTCATCCTCCAGTCTGCAGTAGCTCGTAGATTGCCATCTTTGCCTTCAACCTCTGACTTGTAGTTTTTGGTATCATTTCCATTGTTGCATTCACTATTGACCTCTTGCGTCGCATCATTGAGATACTCCTTTTCTGGAATACCACTGAAGTGGCTCACCTCTGATGGTGAATCTGAGCCTTGTGTACTTTCCAACGGCAATCCGGTATTGTTACCATCATTATCTTTTTGGTCAACAAGCGCTATATGAGCGTTCCTTCTACTTTGTGTGGCGAGCCTTCTTGTACAATTCAATCTGTTCAGCTCCATCTCACTTTCTGTTATGTGGTCTTGCAGAAGATGAACAAACATACGAGCATTAGTAATGGTCTTGAAAAATCTTATCTGTTTTTCAAGTGCTTCCCATTCCTTCGTCATTAGCTTCTTCGCATCTTCACATCCACCTTCCTCGATCCTTTCCATCAATATCTCGTAGTCCATTTGCAGCAATTCGATGCCCTCTTTGACTTCCTCTGTGCATTTTGTAAGCATATCCAGATGTGAAGTCCATAGTTCTTGGCGCCCTTGATCTTCTGGAATGTTTTCGTTCTCTTGGCACTTGTGCAGTAATTCCGCGAGTTCCTTGGTGGCCGTTGCTAGTTGATATTTGAGGAAGGGCGAGATCCTCATCATGTTGTAATCGTGCAGCGATTTGAGCAGAGCACGTATCGGTCTTATTTGGCCGATGCACCAAATGTATCGGTGGTTCTAGGCTTTACTGTAGCCTGAGGCGAAATAGCGCCTGGTTGAGTGTGTTATATAGAACACATTAGCTAATGAGCTTTATGAACAGGCGACCTGCACTCGTGGGTGCTGTGGTAGAATGCTAACGTTAATAAGTGTGGCAATATAAATTACTAGGCATCTGGGCAGTAAACAGACTTATATCACAGCAGGTCATGCTTATGGCATGACCTGTACGGTACTTATTCAGTGAGATACAGGCGAAGTGATATAGAATTAAGGGGGTGCCGACAATACCGGCACAGTCAGGGAGAATCGCAAGCTCGCGCGTATTAGAATGGCTTGCGCGTAACAAGTTTAGGGGCAGTTTTCTAGGCAAGGGCAGCATGTTGCGGATCTGAGCTATTCTCATGTTTGGGGTGCAAGCAACCTCCCATGTCTAAATTTCGGGATGTTCGGTTTTGAAGAGCTGCTGCCTTTAACCTTGGAAGAGCCGTTGGTAAGGCAGCGCCAGTAACAAGGTTTGAAGGGCGATCAAAGCTGCCGAAAACAAGACGAACTGTGGCGGTCCCAGGATTCCGTTCGGGGGAGGGGCGGGGGGCGGCAAAAAATGTTTTCAACCCCGCCGAAAAAAAATGTTATAAGGCTAATTCGAATTTTCACAAAATTTTAAAAATAATTTTAATTGCTTACAGGAATAAAAATCATTTGCACAGTTTTATAACCCATGTAAAGAAAACAAAAAGTTCGCGACCCATTCTCGGGGCTCCCCTCGGTCCGCCACTGTGAGTTGTCATATCTCCGCCACTGTCTGAAGCTGAGTTGATGATATGTTATGTTCCAGGACCAAACTTCCTACACATAGTCTTTGAGGCTGGACGATGTCATAGACTCTTCCTCAACCCGTGTGGATGCATCATAATCTCCCCTCCTCACCAGAGGCGCATTTAGGAGTATTTCGCCTCTTCGCAAGATCACCTCAGTCGCTTCATCACTTAGTGTTTGAGCAGGAAGCAAATTCTACTTTTTCGCTCACCTGAGACTCTCCGTGCTGATATCAAAAACGACGCGCATGAAGGCAGGATCAGACTTGCAGCTAAGGCCATTTACCTGTGTTGATAACCATACCTAACTTAGACGAGTGCAATATTTACCTCCAGAGTTGAGATGCAAATTTCCTGCAAAACTTCGGTGTAGCCCTGCCCTTTGACGGAGTATAAAAACTCCGGGCTCTCCTTCCTTACTGAGAAGTAGGGGAGAACCAGGAATTCATATACTCCTTCTAAGGGCAACGGAACGGAGGTAGAATAGTTGTCTTGCAGAACTGTTTTACATAGTACACATCAACATTACAGTATCCTCTTCCTCCACATCCCGATATCTCCAGCAGAGCTGGAACCAGGGTTGAGCAAGAGGTCAGGCACAAGTCTTTCCAAAACGACCCCCCCCCCCCAGTGAAAGCCCCAAAACGACCCCTCTGCTTCACCTCCAGGACCTCAGGCTGTGACAATTCGAAGAGATCAGCCGTTTTTGGGAGGTTCTTGTTTTTTGAAGGTCTGTAGGTCGACTTTCTGCGATTGCACAGCACACGCAACTTGACGGCAAGTTTTGGATTTTACATAGCCCTACTTTTAGAGCTGTAATTCCCACGGGGGTGTATTGTTTGGCTCCAAATTTGCAGTATTGCAAGAAGAGGCTTTGAGTTCAATACTCATAGCAGAAATGGAGCGATTTTTAGATTTTGAAAACAAGTTAATCGGGTCAGGCGCAACCCCTCAAAAGCTCAGGCGGCCTGACCTTTTGTGGGGTTGCGCCTGACCCGATTAACTTTATCATTGAAGAAGCTTTTTTATTCAAGTTTTATGTGAATCGCTAGCACAACCCTCGAAGATTCCACAGTAAGTGTTTGGACTTGATTCGACTTGTTTCGGCCTTGTGGTAATCCGTGGAGTTGAAGCAGTCATGGCGGAAAACGCGCCGCTCGGAATTTTGGCATTATTTCTTACTCCACTATTTGCAAGCGATACAAAGCGCGATTTTTAGCTTAGACTAGTAGGGAACAATACTTTGTTACAATTACAAAAAAATTGACTTTTCTCACTTTTGAAAACAAGTTAATCATGTTTGAAAATCACGCTTTTTAGTTCATTGAGAAACACTAGATAATGCAGCAATAATGTTTTGTAGGGCTCATAGAGGTATTGACGTGCTCGGAAATGATACCCATCTCACACAGCAAGCTTCCTTGATGAATTTATAATATGTCAAGGTAGAAGATGAAGATTTGAGTTTTGGCCGAAACTTCGATTGTGGAATCAATCAGTATGCTGTTTAAGACCGTTCATTCCTTCAGTACTGGTGAGGTCGCGATATCCACTAAACTAGCGCTTTTCTTCTTCACCTTAATCGTAGTATCTCCTCAATCGAACGAATTCGATTCCTAATCACGACCCCCCCCCCTCTGTCTTACCCCAGTACGACCCCCCAGGTCGGGCGCGCCTGGCCCCACGCTCAACCCTGGCTGGAACACTACTTTCTGCTATATGTATGATCGTCTCCACGATTCGTGTAGAGGTGTATTGCAGACTTTGCCTGATAATACAGGTAAACTTGTTAAACCTCCACGTCATGCATTGTTTTTTGTACTCTCTCGCTATCAAAAACCGCCCCGCTTTGAGTTGGCAAAACCCCGCCTCTACTCGAATCGTGGAGCCGATTACCTCCAATCATCTTACATAGTTTGCTGAGTGTAAGATGTATAGGCGATTCGTTCCCGCAAAGACTGCGGACGTATCGGCGCCTCTCTATACAAGCGCTCTTTCGTTTTCCTTGCCAACTGCTGTCGCTCCCAAGCACGAACTATCTTGGCCGGACGCAACGGCGCCCAGTCTTTGCGTATCATGGATCGTGTATATCATATAAATCTTTGTTGGTAGAAACATATTGGCATATGGAAGGAAATTCGCCCAATAAGAGGCTATACGCAAGATGACTGTAGTGCATATCAATAGAAATTGTTCAGATACTAAGCAACAGGCCGGTCGTGCGATACTATGTTGTCAAAAGCCTCGTATCAACAGAATAGACCCGTCCACAGAGTTTACAAACCTGAAAGCTCCCAACAATCCCTAAATTATTAGAAAAGAGCAGAAGTTCTGGAAGCACAGTGCGGAGATGAGCAACAGAACGAAGCGTCAGTAGTGAATTATATAGAAGTACAAAGACTGAGCTCGGCGAAAGTACAGACAAACCACACTGATTCGTAACACCAGTAAAAAACGATATAATATGATTACTAGCGTGGAAACGAGATTCGACAGTAACTAGATGATAGCAAGGTAAATCGAAATAAGCCCATATCATCATGTCTGGAGATGGCAACTCAAAGTCTACCCATATTCTCGACACTTTTCTTTGGTTAAAAGACCAGCAGAACTTGCACTTCGAAAGAAGAAAATAGTCGGCTCGATCGTCTAGGAAATTAGCACAGGGCCTCTACTCCCTATCGTTCCGACGCTACTGTGGGAAGGTTCACGCAATGCTCGATACTCTGCAACAACGAACACTGTTGAAGCTGATTACAAATCCATATGATGATATCGGACCTAACTTGCAGAAGGAGAAGGCTCGTCATCGTCATAAGACCGCTCGCCAGCATGACCCAACATCTGCTCACCGCGTGGATCCATTTCAGTAGCCCAGCTATAGTTCAATAATGCCAAGTGGTTATTTCCTAATCGTCGGTGAACTTTCCCTAAAGAAGTAATTAATAGTAGGTGCAGACTTCGATAACAGAACAAGGGATGCCGATTACCCAAAAGATGATATATATAGGCTTCGTCAGGCGACACTTCCTTCAGTTCGTTCAACTCTTTCACGCATTCTTCATTCCTCTTCGTATCAAATAGCAGACGAGCTCGATTATATCGACAAGCAACGTCGTCAGGATCCAATGCCAAAGCCTGAATCATGAGGAAAACATGAGAAGAGCTATCAAAAAATTTTGAGACCGATAACGCCCCAACCACCAGGATTATAAACATAAATTGCATTTTCAGGCTTGAAACTTTTCCAAATCATGTAAACTCATACTCAGATCGTGATATTGCTCTTGACTAACAGTGATCCTCACTTAGCCTTTAGCCTGTAGCCTTCCTCTACATTTTTCGATCGATCAAACAATCTATTAAGAAAAGCAAAATCCTCACCCTATCGGTCAATCGCATTGCTCGTTCAGGACGATTCAAGGCTTGTTCAATTTGTGCCAGCTGGCAAAGCATTGCTCGATTGGTCGGATTTATGGTGACAGCTTTTGAGATGTTGACCTGTAGGTGGATTGAATAAAAATATCATTGGTCATTTTGTACTTGTTACCTGAGCCAGCCCCATTTGCTCCTTACGCAGGTGAACTAAACCGAGACCATGCCAGGCGCGGTAATCCTTGGGAGAAATCTCCAAAGCCCTCCTAAATTCTGACTTCAAGCTTACTATGATGGAATTTATTCAACGGATACCTGAAAGCGTTCGCAGCCCGATCGTATTCCTCCTGGAAAATCAGCTCATGACCTAATAGTGTGTAAGCATACGCAAAGTAGCGATCCAGCTGAATCGCACGTTCCATGCAGTCAACAGCTTTCGCATGCTAAAATGCTAGTAAAAGCACGAAAGTACCACGTACTGATAGGAAAGCTACCTGTCTCTGTAAAGAAAAACAGTTTCCTGCCACACACCAGGTTTGCGGTCGCGAACGTGCTTCAAGTGTCAGTTGTTGAGCCAGCGATGACAACTCATGAGCATCTTGCAAATGCCATAAAGCAGTAGAAAGCAGCTCCATTCCCTAAAAGTCTTTTTTGGTTGCAAAATCTTCAAAAATGTCCAAGAAAACAATTCAATAGCAATGTACGTAATTATGACGACCATAGTGCACGCACCTCCACGCGTTGGGGATACATCTTCCGCAGTTTTTGCAAAATATCTCTAGCGCAAGCATACTCTGTAAGCTCAAACGCTATTCGCGCCCGCATATGCAAGGCTATGGGCAGATCTGCCATCCATGGAGGTGCAAGTTCTGAAACCGAGTCTCTTAGAGCCAGTCGAACAATTAGGATCATGATGCACTGACCAAGAATTTTCTTAGCATTGCTCCAGTTATAAGAACCAATAGCATCTTCCACTAAGGCGAATGATTTGACACACAAAAACAAATCTTCTGGAAAGTTTCCTGTTACAAAAGCAGTGATTGGCAAAATTGACGAGGTTGAAAAGATAAACGTACTGTACACTGTACTAAATTCCTTGACATCGCAACTGCTACGACTGGAACTTGATGATGACGGTTGACAAGTAGATACTGAAGGAGTTGAAGATGTAGATGTAGTCGAAGGAGCTGCTACTTGTATAGCAGCGCTTCGAATGTTATTTATATTTGAAGCTATGATCTGCTTCGACTCTGGATACAGCTTCTGCTTCCTAAATGTAGCATATACGCAACTGAACGAGCAATTATAGATGAGTAAAACATGAAGTTCAACAGAACACAATATACCTTGACGATGGAGAATGTTCGGATCGTGTTATCACAGACGAGGGACCCATTTCATTTATCCTCGTGATGGCGCGTAAACTATGTTGCTTAAAAGTACACATTGTGACACTGGCAACGCGAAATTGAGGAACGAAAGCAGTTAACTCACCTGCCGAACCTTGTTAAGTCTCAGAGGAGTGGCACGATTCCTACCACCCACATTTTCAGAATCTTGGTTTTGACTGAATAACTTAGCCCTTCGCGATTCACATGCCTAAGTGATATGGTTGAAATGACAGAAGGAATCTGCTTCCCGAAATGAAAGAAAAAGGAAAGTCCACACCTCATGGATGCGCGTACTTTTACGAGGTGCATGAGTTGGTATTGCAGGCGTTGGAGCGTTATCATCTGGAGTCATGCGAATCGGTGGTACCCGTATATCAGCTGGAGTTTCCTGCACTTTTTGAACAGGCTCCTGTTTGACTGCTGGCCTAAATTTTCGAGTGAGTGATTTACACCTTCGCCAGTGCTTCAGGTACGTACAAGGCCTCTTCGCTCGGCACTGAGGTAGCTGGTGCAGGAGGGAAGAGTTTATTTGTTGTTTCTTGGAAGAGCTCGTCCATCGCATGGTCGTCAAATTGTACAACTTTGCAGATGGCTGACCACAAAAAATTATTTCCACGTACGGCACTTTCACTCTCTTTAGCTGCAGCTGTGTATCTCCCACAAACACTGGAAACAATCATGTCCCATTCAAGCAGTGGCCCAAACTGTTCTACTGTGTAACTAGCTCACCAATGGATCGTCGACAAAAGCGAGCGCGCAAACGGCTCAGTTGGTGTTCCTATGAAGACGTCATGCAACCGACCTTCTTTCCTCTCTGATAAAACGCGACAGCACTCATCGTTTCTTGAATTACACACTTTATCGAAATAAGCTTGCCCAACAAAATTGACATGAAAAAGAAGATTTGGGACAAACTCACTTATTCAGATCAAAACAGCACCTAGCGAACAGATATCGTAATCTGGCGTTGGTCAGAGAATGCGACCGCAGAAGGTTATAAACTTCATGCTTCCGATTGAGACGTAATAAGCAATCACAGTAAAGGAGCAACGACTGATCCGATTTGACTGAAATGACCACCAGTTTTGGTAAAAATCCTCAATAGGAACTTCCGCCGCTCATTTTAGTAAACGTCTTTGAAAAATAGTGAATGGATGATATATGAAAAGTCTATCTGTGGGTACGCACGCAGCTGTAGGTGCTTGAGCACTGTTTTTTGTTAGGTGAAGATGAATCGAGATGGAGATATGACTGCAAAATAAATTTGTATTCAAAGTCATATACATGGTTTGGACCACCGAGAGCTTAGAAAAAATGAATGAGAAAACAAATAAGCATGTCCGGACGTAACTGCTTTTTGCAAGGCGATTACGGCTACGACTCGGAAAAAATCGGCTAGATTCTGAGAGTAATTAAAAAGCCTTAGAAGAAATCTGCTACCAACGAGAATGAGTAAAGGAAATCGAGAAGAAATCTGCTACAAACGAGAATAAGTGAAGGCAGTTGTGAGGATCTTGATAACGCAGTGCATTGACATACACTCCATGAAAATTCTCGATACTTTTACGCTATCGCCCATTTTTTCAAGTGGTAGTCTAACGAGATACGTGTTCAAAATAGACGAATATTCACAGATTTTCTGAGAACTGTCTGCTTGTTTATCAGGAAAAAACCAACATGTTTTCGACCGGTTTGACAGTTTCTTCTCGAAAACTTATTCAATGAAATGCGAGAGCAATTGCGATGTCAATCTTCTGTATTTTATAGGTACGAGCAGTAAAACGTTATGAAACATCTTGACACTCGAAAATATCTCCCCCTCGAACTGTTTCCATCCATATTATTGAAAAACCAAACGATGGCTTGAATTACCTCGCTGCTTTCCGCTTGGACTGGAATCCCCCTAGCACACTTTTCTTTCTCAGAAAATCCAATATGTTCATTAGAAACAGAACATTTTATAATGCTGATATTCTTCTTTAGGTTGAAATGAAAATGGGTCCATTATAGATCAGAAAGCAGAATGAACGTTGGTAGGTGGGCGATATATAACGTTGGGTAAAACTGTTTGCAAGCAGATACATGTTAAATTTTCTTGACGTGGCACTTCTTATCATGAGGTTTGGACTGACCATGATACAAAAAAGCATTATCTTTTAGCTTTGAGAAAATGCGTGGATAACGGAAAAGTACAAGATACATTACTGAAAACATTTGGCGAACAACAGCGGAAACAAAACTCCAAACCTCTTAGATGGTTCAGCTCAGCCAGAAAAAGTGCGTCATCAAGGCAACAGTGATCCAGGCATTCGCGAATCAGAACCTGCAAGTTGCATGCTTTTGAACTCACTAATCGTATATCACTTTCGAAAATTCTCAGAATTCTTTGTCGCTTTGTGAAGAATATTCATGCCAGACTTCATGGTTTCATTCTCGCTAATACACTAAAAACCTCAGCATAGGTTACTGGCAGGGTTAAGACTGCAGTTTCTATGCACGATTAATGATGAAAGAGGACTAGTTTGAAAAAAATTTGGGAAACAGGAAGTTCAACTGCGAACACTATCCCATTACGCAAAAGTGTCTGGACGCTTCACTCATTTATTTATTTGTGGCACGCTTTGTTCCCGAGAAAAAAAGCAAGGGACTGACTTATGGAACAATGCCACCCTGAGCCATGACAAAAGCTTCATAATTGTCTGTGCAAGTTCTTCAAAAAAGCCGTAACTCTTAGCAACTTTTATATGGTTAGCCAGCGTTAAGTAGGATTAAACAAATCAAAAAATATACCTCAGTTTCAACGCAAACTGTCTCTTCAGAAGTCTCGGTAGGTACCATTTGATATTAACGGAGGAACCCGGCAATAACTCGAAAGAGCTGCCAATCCTATAACAGCAATGTTCTGAATAAGCAATTTTGACTCGTAAGACAGTAATTCCGCTATTAATAAGCACAAAGTCTTAACTTTGCTACCGAACCGATTTTTACGACCCAATATCACCCAATCGTCGGAATTGGCAAGTTTCCAGCTGCGGCGGTACGGTACAACCATTCCGCACGCGGCCCAGCGCTCAGCTGACTGTGCCGATCGATAATGCGCGAAGAGTGTGTAAAGAGTGGAAACGCAGGCGCATGACAAGCATATAAGGGCGGGCGGCGCGGCGCGGTCGACATACGTCGTCACTCTATCGTCGCGTTCTTCAGCTTCTGCCGTTTTCTTCGCACGAACTTCAAGATGTCGTCAAGTATTATCAGTAATAATACGCAAAGTAGTACATTGAGCTCCACCGCCGTGTAAGTGATTCAAAGCAACTTTTGTAGACTACAAGAGAGACGAAAGCTTGGAAGTAGTTGGGGAAGTTGTGGTTGTTACTCAACTTTCTTCTTTCAGATGTGAGCACACCGATACAGCGGTCGGATGGTGTTTTTGACGTCCCCCAAAGTGTAGCAAGTCGAATTAGTGATGTAAGTTTGTGTGTTTTCTAACTCGAAAGCAAACCCTAGATTGCATGGTAACTGGCGTATGAGTATGATAGTTTTCATTTATAAATTCAGACTTTCACTGTCTTTACAATATGAGACGAACATCGTGAGAATAGCTTTCTATAGAAAAAGCAGGAGAAATCCTGCATGAGTTGAGTCTCAAGTGTTTGTTTGTTAAGCAGTACGAAGTACGGCACCAACTAATTCTTTCGACAAATAAGATCGTAAAAATTGATGCTGCTAAGAGATAATTGTAATCTATAAGTTGTACGGCTTTTGCAGCATGCAAACATTCCTCGATCAATATTTGCGAAATGAGTGGATTGCGCAATATCCATGAAGAATCAGATGATGTTGCACTTTGAATGTTAGGCGATTGATGTGGTCCAAAACATAAATTAAGGCTGATTTAACCGTTTGGGAATTTTGTACATCTCAGTTCCATTCAAAACATGTCGGGTTTTTCTTCCATATATAACTCAAGTCTATTCGAGCGGATCTTTTGTTGACAAGCTGCTGTTTAGTCATGAAGAACGATATGGCTATAAGCGCGATCTTTTACTGATAAGCAGGAATATTGACGCATTTCCGGGTAGCTAAGTTTTTCACATGACGATGTTTCTCATAGGATTTTCACGTTACTATTGATTTTCGATCAGATGGCCCAAGGTTTTCAAGCAGAGCCTTAGTGCCTCACTTTTTTCTGCCGAGTTTCAGCCTTGTCATGAGAACAGCAGTCATGTCAGAATTTTTTACTGCCTGGTTCTCATGCTAATATTGCGGAACTGAATATGCGACATACTACTTGGCGCAATTTCCTGTTATCAGTCTGTCTAATCTGAGGGATTTCTAATGCGGAATCCCTATCCGCTCGGGCCAAACATAATATGCGCAGTATTTCTCAGACATACGGTATATCAGCAATAGCTTTGTACATGTGTAACACATCTATGGCAGCGATAGTGGAATTTTCTTTACAAAATCATTGAAAACCACAATTTCAGGTGACAAATCGGGTGGGTGCAGTGTCTAAGGTGTGGCGTTGGGCAATGGTAGATCCGAATTCGTTAGCTGTCATCATACCCGTAGATCAAGATCCCAGAGATGTATCCAGAGAGCGTTTTGTTTCGCTTCTTGAGTATTGCGAGGAGGAGCTCGGTATGTTGAGTTACTTCAAGATGCGTATTAGTGTTCAACCTCTGTCTTGCAGGTCTTGATCGAGTTCTAGCTGTATTCGAAAAGCCAGGCTTGTCCCTGTCAGAAGGCTTTCCTCGCACTCTTCGGTATGTCGGTTTCCGTCTTCTTCCGCCCGACTCGATTCCAGACGTTTTGGCGAAAGACAATTATTTTGTAATGAGCTATTCTGTCTAGATTGTCACTAACATTGTCACCCTTGTTTATTCATCATCTGTCCCGATTTGGCATGACACTATGTAGACTAACTTGTTGTTTATATATATAAATTCTGACTGAAAATCTCTGCGTCTGTATTTTTGTTTCTAGTTCAAAGCGTATACATGTACAATGTTTTGAATAAATACTCTGCAGTAACGACTTTATTCAATGAAATGTTTCAAAGCTGATATTGCAAAAAGCTTCTCTATGAAGATGTCGTCTTCCACGGCGGCAATATGCGCTGAAATAACATCTCGTTGATCATAGGCCTATCATGCTGAGTAGCGCAGTAAAACATTGAAATTGATAACATTTGGAACTGTGGTCGAAAGATCCTGGCGAATTTGTTGATCATGTGAGCCTGATAAGAACGCTAAGCAAACATGATCGATTTTTTATCATATGCTAAGAGGCGAACACATTGGATAAGGGGAGAGGTCTGCCTTACAAACTTGATCAGATTTTCGAAAAAAAAAACTTTGAATAAGCTTGCCCGAGAAAAAGCGCTCGTTTGTGTTGCGCACAAGAAAAACCTTATTACACACATTACTATTTCAAAGCTAGTTCGATGCGCCTCCTTCAAGGAATTTATCTTCGCACTTGACCTTGAGTGTAGTGCAGTCGTACTCTTTTGAAGACTGTTATCATTTATCATTCATTCTATACGTACAACGAAAAAGGAAAATGCTTAATTCTCTTGGATCATCTTGTTGATAGGAGCTTAACAGGGTTGTAACGATATGCCTTGGAATGACCTAGTGGCCCGTCCACGCTAAATTTGCCAGGCTATCATTCTGTGCGCAGTCGCGGATTATGACACATCAAGGCAGCGAATGTGGGAGTAGTCTTTGCATGTAAACTACATAAACGATCTGCATGCGTCAGCTACGCTTTATGGCGCATAGCGACAACGCAATCAATACAAAAACCAGCTCATTCTCACCAATATAAAACAAGGAGAAATTTCTGAAGCCTAACTTCATAAAGTTTGATTCTCATATACAGAGTGTCCCAAAAATATCAATAAAAAAGGGTCTCGACATGTTTTGCTCAATTAAATTCATGAAAGAACATGTTCAAACCGTGGACGAGCTCGAACTCGTTCTCCCACAAATTCATGATAGTAAATTGCTAAAACGCGATAACCCATCAATGAAGTTGTTAATCAGACTTACGCAAAGCGTGCTTATGTCGCTTAGCTAGAAAATGAATGATTTGTATGCACTTTTTGTTCAAGCGTTAGTATCTCTCTTCAAACACTCCTTCGCTGACCTTTAGGTATCATTCTGTAGCGCTGTCTTCAATTCAAATTTACAGTATGGAGCAAATCGCTGCACGCCAAACAAGCTAGAAAGTCTTATGCTAGGCTGAACGAAGCTGACTCTAATTATGAAATTCTTGGTTCACCGCATATATCTCATGTACGTTGCGTCTGTATACTGTGATAACTGTTTTTCCTTTCAATGCCCCGCAGAAGTTTGGACATAGCTTGAAAAGTTACCCCGCAGAAACTTGCATGACAACCCTGCTACACAGGGTACTCGAGAACCAAACCTTCTGGAATTTAGCAGGAAACACCGTCTACACAGATTCCCGCATCGCATGCTCATTTCACCCCCAAAAGGAAAAGACCAACAAAGGGGAAGTGGTCAAAAATTGTCTTCTACAAGAACGTCCTCCTCTTCAAAAAGGGCGAACGAGAGGATCTTCCAAAATACTTTCCTATGCCCGCCGAAGTGTGTGGTATAAGCTACTTGCGGAGATTATAACGGTCGATACCGGGGAATCTGGATGAAGCCCTGCCCCGCAGGGAGTAAGGAGACATCTACACCTCTAAATTTACATTGTCCATATAAAAACCTTTTCAACCGTGACTGGTAATCAAAGTGAATGTCCATTATGGTGAAATGAAAATTTCTTCAATGATGTAAACATACCCGCTCGACCAGTAAACCTGCTCGCCTTCGGCGAAGATATGGAATGCCATGTTGAGTATCGGATTGCAACTGTTGTTCGATCGCTCGTTACGATATCGTCGTGCACGTTTGACATCATTTCCCTGAAATTAACACGATAGTCATTTGTAATATGCACTGAGGTATACCGAGAGTTTGCTTGTGAATATCTTAAAACGATAGTATATAAATGTTTCTGATATGGCCGCCTATACTCTGTACTCTGAAGTCTAGCAGATGAGTCAGCTATTTAAAGGCACCGTCCACCCAGATTCTCGACTTCCAGGATTTTGTCGTTTCAGGGACTTCTCATGACCCTGATTCCGAATATGAAGTCGTGGATCAGCGAAAACCCCGATAATCCTCATTCCGGAGAACCCACAGGCCGGTTTCCGGAAAAGTGATCTATTATCATATGTTACCAAAAGTTCAAGATCCTCAAATTAGGGTGGACGGTGCCTTCAAAAGCTTGGATTTTTTATTCAAAATCATGCAGTTTCTGCAAAACTGTGAGAAGAAGGCTTTTTGTACATCAACCGAAAGCTTTGAAATGGTGTGAAGCTTGTTAACTAACTGCTGTTTTTTACAGAATATTTAGTTCCGATGTCAACCCTAGCATTTCAATGCTGAAGCGGCATTTTCTCTTCCAGCTGTTTTTCTTCAGTAGAATAAGGTATTCAGCTTTTCCTACCTCATTCAAAATAGCTCTTTAAGCCTTTCGACAAACTGACAGGTGTAATCTTTTTCCTTTAAAGGCACCGTCCACCCAAATTGTGGTTGGTGAGATTATGATACCTAGCAGATGCGGGACCCCCAACTAAATGATGCCCAACTCGCGCTGCCTGAAGTTGCTTCCGAATCGAGAAAATTGCTTCGGAAATCGCTTCGGGCCGCGTTCGCGACGCTGGCTCCTCCCCTTTCGGAGTGGGCGTGACGTTCGTTCCACCCATCCGTGCGCGTCCAACCAATCACGTACCGAAGAAATCGCTCTGCGAGTTCTGAAAACAGGGGTTTTTCGTGGTTTTCGCGGTTTTTCAACTTGATATTCGGAATTAGGGGTATGAGAAGGCCCTGAAACGGCAAAAACACGGAGGTCGAAATTTTGGGTGGACGGTGCCTTTAACACATTGACGACCGAAGCCTTTTTTGGACAGCCAGCATTTTTCAAATAAGATCACGTACAATTCCATCTACAGTACGCCTACAATAGCACTGGAATGCAAAAACAGCAGAGGTTGTATCTAAATCCGGCATGCAAGAAAACTCCTGAAATTGGTTTGACACATTTTGGTGGCCATTTCAATGAGAGTCATGGTGTTTCAAGCCTGTGAATTGACGACCGCTTGACACACCATGTGTCAAGCGGTCGTCAATGTGTTAAGAAAGGCGGTGACTTGACTAATGGACCGCTGTCGGGTTTTGGTAATGTTAGGTAGTAGAACCTCCCCCCTCCCCTCCCCCCTCCCTCGGTACCCGTAGCCCAAAGCGCACCTGGCAGTCCATGCGCTAAGTCCTAAAATGGCGTCAAAGTCTACCATTAACGTAGCCCTCTGTGGAAAGAGCGGGGCTGGATTTTTTTTTTGAAACGCGTTTTTCAGAGCTTAGCGCATGACTTGAAAGAAAGGGTTGGTGCTACGGTGTACTTAGGTGGTCTATTACCCAAAACTACCAGCAGCTGAAAAGCACCATTTTGACGAGCCACTGCTTGCAAGCTTAAAGGCAGTGGACCGGCAGAATGAGACCCGTGGCAAAACAAGGTCACAGGGCGGAAGCCCCCATAATGGAACCTATGGGCCAAAGTTCGATCTTTCTCTGCCACTTCTCACCCCCGAAATTTTAAAGCGAAGGCAGCGCTCATCTCCTCTCCTCTCCGATTCCGCCCACCCCACGGACGAGTGAACGCGAAACCCGCCATGGCAAAGACGCAGAGTCGTTGCGGGACCCTTTTGCATATAGCATTGCGGCATGCGCGCTCTGACGTGGAAGTCACTCGTCCATGGGGTGGGCGGGGTCGGAGAGGAGAGGAGATGAGCGCTGCTTTCGCGTTGAAATTTCGGGGGTTAGAAGTGGCAGAGAAAGATCGGACTTTGACCGATAGGTTCCATTATTGGGGCTCCCTGTGACATAGTTTTGCCACGGGACTCATTCTGCCGATTTACTGCCTTTAAGCCTTTACCTGCAACGCCAAAGCTTTTGCATACGAACTTTACACTACCAAACTGCGATGATTGAGCAGCATAGCGATAACGCGTTTGACAAAAAATGTATTAGTTACACGACCTTATCTTGAAAGTGTAACACGATGATATAAAAAAATGCGTTGAAACTATTTCCGAACTGACTGACAACGAGAGTTATGCAAAGAATGTAGTACACATACCGATAAGCAGAACCCATCGCGGAGAGATCCTTCATTGCAGACTTACATGGAGCCACCAGAGCGGAATGACATGGAACGAATAGATCAGCTGAACACAGGTATCAGAATATATAGCCTGGTTATTTCATACTGCACAAAGATACGAATTTTAAACTTCGAGATATTTTTTCCATGGCGATGCATGTCATTTTGGTGAGCGCAGTCTTTGGCAAGTGGGCGGGTAGTCAATGTCAAGACACTCCCATCAGCAGGTGCTTACAGAAGAAACGCTTCGTGATACTAGCCAGACGCGGCCTTTTCTATATGACAAAAGTCTCATCTGTAATCTTCTATCTCTTTGCAGCTTGTTCATATATATTCACACGGTGGTCCAAATAAAGTGCGACGTAAGAAAAAATCTCATAACCTTACAACTGGATGCAAAAAATTTGCCTTCATTTGAATGACAAGAAAACTGTATAAGATCTTCTACACCTTTAAAATATCTGCCTCTGGCTTCGGTAAAACCAGTTATCCTCTTTCACTCTTCCAAAAATTCTTCAAATCTTCGCAATGGTTTTTGGTCCCAACCTTACCAGGCCTCTTTTTAGCAAGCCAAATGACATGGGTTTCAAAAAGCAGATTCTTCCGCGAAGAAATAAAGAAGTTTCCATGAGGTTGAGGATGAAATTCTTCGTTTCGCCGCGGAGTGACTAGTCATGCAAAAAATTCAAACAGCGTCCTTATGTTTGCTTTAACCCAAGAAAGTAAACCCCTTTAGAATCTGCTTCTGATGCTTTTTCAAAACCTCGCAAAAATTAAAAGTTGCGCTGCCATAGCAACTACGGTAAACAAACCTTCAAACTCGACCAACTCTAACTAAGAGCAGTCAGACAATGATACAAAAGAATATGTAGACTATCATCAAAGCGTGACATGAAGCAGAAAAAATGGATTTTTTGCACCCTTCAAACTTCATGCGGGCCACATTTGAACAAACAATGTATGGCCTTCCGTTCGCCTAGTCTTGACTCTACAACTCTTGTCTATCTGTTGAGCCCGCTCTTCCAAACTCAAGTCACTGAATTTGCCAAAAGGAGATCTAGTGAGAGCCTGGAACGAAACTCCGCCAAAAACCATTGCGCGCATCGTGGAAATTTCTCCAAAAAAGAGGGATTATTACTGAAATTATTATTATTAAATTATTATTATTAGTGATTCTATTATCAAAGCCGGTGGAAATCCTGAAAGTAATCCATATTCTATACAGAATTTTTTTTGTCTATCAGATGAAAATAAAAACTTCTATGAGTCTAGCAAAGCTAGAAACAATTTCAACAATGTAGATCACCCTGTATAAAGCTTTGTCTGAGAAAATACTAAAGCGCGTCTTCCTTCTTTAGCAAGTAATATCTGCTCCAAGACGAAGGCGGTCGCCCAAATAGGTTGAAAGCATGAAAGGCTGTGGCGCGCGGGCAATTGTCAACCACAGGACGCGCGCACGCTCGGTCAACGGTCATCCACGCGAGCGTGCGCGCGACCCGTGGTTGACAATTGCCCGCGCGCGCGTGCGCGTCAGCCTTGCATGCTCTCAACCTATTTGGGCGACCGCCTTCGTCATGGAGGAGATATTACCATACGCGGATCTAAGGGCCAGCATGGGGGAAAACGCAGTTTTTTTCCCTGTAGCGCTCCAAAAAGCAAGTAAACAAGAAATCTAATGAAATAAATTTTGCCGACGAGTTCAAGGGTTTCCCGACTTTTCGCCATCTTTGCAATGCAATATTTTCCGATCTACAAAATGTGCTTCGAACTGGACCAATTACCCGAGACCTTTGTAGTGTTTGAGATAATGCTAATGCAGATTTAAGACTGCAGCTTTTTTAAAAACCTAAATGAGCACTCGAGCATTATTCTGAACTGACAAGTTCGCGAAACGTGTGCAACATGTGTAAGAGCTCTTCCTCCAAAATTCATCGACTGATGCTAACACATCAGAGAGAAAATGATGATTCACTAGATTCTGGCGCAAAACTAATGAGCATGTTCACGAGACAATGTGAATAATAAGTATCCTTATATTGTAGCGATGGTGGACCAAGATAGAGGCGCGCACACGCCTGATCCGTTTGATCCACTTCGCTATTGGTTAAATGAGTGAAGTGACCAATAGCAAAACTGATAAAGTGGATCTAGTGGATCAAGTGACATCCGCTTCGTTATTGGTCATTTCACTGATTTGACCAATACTGAAGTAGATCAAGTGAATCAAGTAGACTAAGCGGATCAAATATGGTGCGTGTCTAAGGGGTAGAAGAGGAGAAGTGCACGCAACCCAACAAATATGAGCAGCACAATTTTCAAAAGTGGTCAAGGTAACTGCATCTTCTTCACAGTGGCCAACAAACCCTGAGGGTTACCCTAACCCTGGATGGTAAAACAACTTAAACCCGAGAGCAACTAACCCGTATTCATTGAACGTGATTCATCAGAATTTAATCCTAACTTAGAGCAAGGTTAACTCTACCCCAACATTTCGTGCAAACATAAAGTAATCTCTCGATGCACTACTTATCCTAACGATACTATTTAACAACAAACACATATTTTTGATGGATACTATCTCAGGTTTGTTAAATCCTCTTTTGTCTCGTTTAATCATATTATAAAAATTAGGGTAAAATTTTTTTTAGTACTTTATTGTCTGAATCAAAGCGTTTTCGGTTGAGTTACGACAGTATGATCATGTAAAAAATTGATAATATTTGTGGACTCAAATTCGATTGAGGGAGCCCCAGTCGACCTTTGTTCAAAGTTCGTCATATCAAAGCCCTCCGTTGGGCATATACTTCATTTAAAAGTAAATCTTTTACTGTAACATTTGGCTGAATATAACACCGGTCGATAACATCAAACACGAATAGAGGCCATAGGAAGTTTGACTTAATAGTAACTATAAATGTGTTTTTTTTCTGTCAAAACAGTATCGCTAAGCGTGAGTAGTGCATCGAGAGATCACTTGATGTTCGTACGAAATATAAGAGTGAATCTAATCTTGCTCTATGCTAGGGTAGAATTTACCCTCGAGATTCGTTGATCGATACGGGTTGATCGCGTTCCGTAAATCCTACCCTATGCTCAAAGGTTCGTTGATGAATACGGCCACAGAACATTTGGATCACAAATAAATGTGAGGAGGGTGCACGAAGCAGACCACCTGCACGTCAGTTTATTCAAGCGATAGTACCCAAGTCCCTGAAGCTTAATGTCAGCCAAACCAAACAGTACAAACGCTCCCAACAATTCGATCCTCAAAATGAAAGTTTAGTTACCAGGAGTTCCTATCAACAGGATCTTTCGGAAGAGACCAAAAGTCTTCTTCTGCGAAAGGCGAAACAGGAATGAGTCGCAGAAGGCGACTTCGTCTTTGAGAGAAAGCTGCTCTACCGAACGAGATTGTTTCCACCTAAAAGCAAATAACACAATAAGGCGGTCTCAAATCAACGCTGTTCGAACCATTGCATGAATTGAATTCCTAGATTAACTCCTTTTCCCACGTAAGCAAGACCGAGATGAGGGCTGTTGATAGTCAATAGGCAATGTAGACGTGGTCTTAGCCAATCCGCTTCGTCACGACACACAGCTGCTCGAACGATAACACCGCCCAAGGAATGGGCGACAAAGCTTAACAGAAAGAAATGCGTACATTCACTAAAACTTCTGGTAATGAATCCACCTTATCCGAGAGGGTAATTCACTGTACTTAGATACATAACACTGCACTTCGCTCAATAGATTTCCCGCCATGTCATCGATATCAGACCATGTCTTGGAATGATTAGATGCACTCAAAAGATAGTGAAACCCGTGAATATCGCCGGCTATAACTCGGAAGATATTTCGATACGAAGACAAGTCTTCGCAAGTCCCTATAATCAGTTTGCTCTGATTGAAATCATTATAAACCAACAAGTTTACCTTCTAGTCCGTGAACAAACACAACGAGATGTGTGGTTGTTACCACTGGACTTTTGAAGTCCGCAGATAGACGAGAACGTGCTTGTTCACTGCAAAAATTCGAGCGGATACATTGACTTAAATCTTGTATAGGGCACTCGAAAAGTCGTGACGATGGCGCGACTGCGCGCGACAAGCACGCATACCCGGGATCCGCTATTTTCTTGGTTTTCAGCTCTACTCGAATGATTTTTCTACCTTATGATAGCATTCAGCCACTAGAAGTAACTAAGCTGAGAGTTGAGGCGGTGCCTTTCTGCTCCTGTGGGCGCGTAGACCGCAGTCAAATCCGTCGTCACGATTTTATAACTAAGGGAGTCAGCCTTTGCATGAACGTCTCGCCTTTTCCGTACATGCTTACTTGCTTAGATGCTAAGATGGCCCGTAATCACGTGGCCGCGCCCAACGCAGAAATTCCCATTGTTCCTTGCTCCTCGCATGTGACAACCAAGATCTACTCGGTTGTCGGTGATCGCAAAGACAAAGATGTTTTGCTTGCGAAAAATCCACTCAGATGTTCTTAGTGCCGATCTGTCGTCTGTACTTCTCATGTGACCGCTTCATCGAGGTTTCGCTTTTCGACGTATTCTGCTGGATAGCGAAACTGGACATCATTCAGAAATCCGTACCAAAGTCCGACGAGATGTTGCTTGCATTAGGCAATCTTCAGAAGGCTGCCTTAGAGCGCCTGTGGATGGTTCGTGAAACTATCGAAGTGGTTACAATATTGCCCCACGTCTCAGCTGCGTGACAGAGCGCCAGAAAAACGGTTGAGTAGAAAAGGTGGGTGTGAAGCTCCGGATTCGCGTTAGCTAAGCAATAGCGCTGCGAAACGGAACATTTCTGGAACCTGATATAGTAGGTTGCTCATCCTCCAGGTACAAAAGCACAAGTACAGCCGCACACTCTCAGGCAACGGATAGGACCCCTCCGCCGGAGAAATGGCAGGGTCGCGCCGTTTCCCCAGCGGTGGGTCTCCCATTTGTCCGGCGGAGCCCTCCCATTTCTGCTCCGGATACCTCCCATTTTCTGCTCCGGATACCTCCCATTTTCTGCTCCGGATACCTCTCATTTTCTGCTCCGGATACCTCCCATTTTCTGCTCCGGATACCTCCCATTTTCTGCTCCGGATACCTCCCATTTCTGCTCCGGATACCTCCCATTTTCTGCTTCGGAGGCCTCCCATTTTCTGCTCCGGATACCTCTCATTTTCTGCTCCGGATACCTCCCATTTTCTGCTCCGGATACCTCCCATTTTCTGCTCCGGATACCTCCCATTTCTGCTCCGGATACCTCCCATTTTCTGCTCCGGATACCTCCCATTTTCTGCTCCGGATACCTCCCATTTCTGCTCCGGATACCTCCCATTTTCTGCTCCGGATACCTCCCATTTTCTGCTCCGGATACCTCCCATTTTCTGCTCCGGATACCTCCCATTTCTGCTCCGGATACCTCCCATTTCTGCTCCGGAGACCTCCCATTTTCTGCTTCGGAGGCCTCCCATTTTCTGCTCCGGATACCTCCCATTTTCTGCTCCGGATACCTCCCATTTTCTGCTCCGGATACCTCCCATTTTCTGCTCCGGATACCTCCCATTTTCTGCTCCGGATACCTCCCATTTTCTGCTCCGGATACCTCCCATTTTCTGCTCCGGAGGCCTCCCATTTCTGCTCCGGACCCCTCCCATTTTCTCCGGCGCGAGTCCGCCAAATCTGGCAGAGTCGCGCCGGAGAAATGGCGGACCTTTGCAGCAGGGCCGGAGAAGCCTCCCACTTGCCTGCCAGTGATGTCACCGCGATGGACCGCCCATTTGCCCCTCTCTCATTGGTCAACTGGGTCCGGCGCGAGTCTGGCAGATTCGGACTGTCCGGCGGAGGGGTCCGGTCGATTGTCTGAGCTGCCCTCTCAGCCTGCCCTCAAGCCACTTTTGTGCGCTTGAGGGCAATTTTTGCTTGGACAAGTTCGCAATTTTTCTTCCATCGTTGAAGGCGGAAAGTGCCGCAGCGTTATCACCGAAAGGTCCGGCAACGATTCTGCGCCTACAAGCTTGGCAAGAACTGTTCCATTCGTATCGAAAGCTTTCTCCATGTCCGAGAAGGCTGCATGCAACCTCCTGTTTCTCTCTATACTTCTCCAACTACTAGCTGAGTGGATGGCGTCGGTTGTAGACACTCTTTGCACAAATTCGCACTGACTCGGTGTAAACTCCATTACACTGTAAGTCCTCTTTTCTTGTTACGGCATTTCAGTAACTTGAACGATTCTTCTATGCCGTACAGGTTTTTATTGGTAACACACTTTACTACTGCCTTATGTTTCGGTTGAACACCGTCTTCAGAGGCCTGGAAAGGAGTTAGTGACTTTGATATTACTTTTCTTGATGCCAAACACCTCTTCCCACCCGCGTATTCGATTCATCTTAGGTGGAGATGGAGAGACTGGGCGTGGAAGTCTGGGAAGAGGAATTTGACGGCAAAAAAAGTAATATCAAAGTGAATAACTCCATAATTCCAGGCCTCTGAAGACGGTGTTCAACCGAAAAGGCAGTAATAAAGTGTGCCACCAACAAAAACTTGTACGACATAGAAGAATCGTTCAAAGTCCATGACATTTCGAAACTGTGTTTGCATATTCTTGTCCCTGCTGATTTGAATGAGGAGACTTGTGAGCCGTGAGGCTCCGAATTGTCAACATATCTTCCAGAACTCGCTTGATGTCGATTAGACCACTTGATTGCCATTACTTCTTCTTACGACTAGCCATTCCCCTTCGTCTTTGCCTTTTGATACTGGTCCTTCCATTACATCAGCTTCCGGAATGGATTTGACGGGCAGATGTAATGCCACCTCTTCAAAGTAGCTCTCCATCTTTCGGGGCCTTCTGGTTCTCAACTTCTCAAAGAATTGGTCCTTGATAAGGGAAAAGTACTCCGCAACTTTTGAGAGCTCCCCTTTCCTTCTTGCCATCCAATATATCCCACGTTCTCCCTCGCGAAACTCCAACAGCTTTTAGAGCTCCTTCATGTACGATCGAGTTTATTTTCCGTTCAAAATGTGTGCTTGGACAAATACAGTGCTGGACAAAATTATAGGTCCACTCTAAAAGAAGCCACGACTCACTCTGCTGTTGATGAAATGTTCCAAAATTTGTTACAGCCGTGTCTTTACCAGCCTACTATCAGTCATCAAAACGGGCCTCTTTTGTTTGGTGATTCATAAAAAATCAAAAACTCTAAAAAAAGCAGGCTTGAAGGCTGGTCAAATTATAGGTCCACTTGGAGTTTTCAATAATTGAAGCACTTCTTAGCTTCCGAGTTTTTTTTTTGGTAGGTACACATACAAAAATGTTAAACAGTTGCTTTAATCAAGCTGTGTCGTACCTCCAAAAGAATCAATCTGCTTTTTTTGCATTGAAAATGTTTTCACATGTATCTCGCTCAGGAACCTGCGTTGAGCAGGAGAATCTACAGTTGATCCGACATCGACTCGATAGGAAGCCTAAGCCTCATTTCTACCCTGAAACCCTTTCTGTAACGTCAAGATGTAGTAGAAGCATTTTTCACACAAGACGAAATCTGCATAGCATACTCACAAGTGCTCAGAAAGTTGCCCTTTGCTTCTTTTTCAAAACATGAGTTGTGCAGCCTAATGATGCTGTTACCCACTTTCAAAATTGCTTGCCAAGTGCTACCTCACTTAGGCCCGTATGCACGTACATCCCCGCTGGGGAGGGGAGGGGAGCTGGACCCCAGGGGATCGATCCCCTTCAATGAACCCCGCTATGTCAGAGGGGAGGGGAGCGATCCCCTTCCCTCCGCCTATAGCGGGGATGGCGTTATTGCGGTGGTCGCTTCTACCTCACGGCTACTACAAGACCTCGCCGAAGAACTTTTTTTCGGTCAATGTTTGTGTGGCAGAATAGCTTTCGAAACAAAATGCACAAAAATACTGATTTCGCGTGCCTTTGTCCTCCTCACTCTTCTCCTTTCACCCCCCTCTTTTTCTTTTCCAAATTACTGGTTTCAAGGCTTCTTTATACTCGTTACCTGCCGTCAGTAGTATGATGATTTTTGAAGTAATGTGAGCCTATTTTGCAATTCATGTTATGATTTTCCTGCAATTGTGTTACGGCAATGTACTTCTCTTACAAAATAAGTCGTGTAGGTGCAGCATTTTCCAGTTTCCGCGGGTTTTCAACGTTTGCCAGCACCTTGCGGTATTCTTTCGCAGTCTCAAATTCAGCATTTCGTTGAGGTGTCAATCGAACGAACCCCACTGGGGATCCTTCCCTTCCCCTCCCCGAATGCACGAATGTATCTCAACAACGCGGGGGAGGGGATCGACATCCCCTGCAGCGAAGTAGGGGTTGGCTGGTGTAAGTCATGCTAGAGAATCGAATATTCTAATTTCAATCAGTTATTACGAAGCATTTCGTTCAATTTGATGAACGATTTTTTTTTTGAAAGCCGGGTTCTTTTCTCCGCGACCTATAGCTTGTAATCTTGTCTCCCTACTCTATATTCGCTTCTCGAGAAGAAACCCGAGCATGTAATAGATGCCAATTTGAATATGTTAGGAGTTCTTGACCATGCAAGAAATTTGCGCCTTTTTCATGATATGATACTTTTAGCCATATATAAGCTGATTAAACACATTTAACTATCATATTACATGCTATGTTGCCTTTATTTGGTCATCTCAACATAAATGTCTTGGAAAAATCTGGAAAGTATTAGATTTGCTTACTTCTGAGTAGAGATCCCCGGGGGAGTGATCCCCTCCCCAGCGATCCCCTCGTGCATAGCAGGGATGGCCGCTGGGGATCATTCCCTTGGGGAATTGGACGGTATGTTTAATTGCTACAGCCTTCATGGAGAGCCTGGCACGGTTTGCAGCTTCTGTTATGGGTAGATATGCTGGTTTGAGGGTCCGCGACACCCCCCCCCCTCTTTTTTCGGCAGCGTAACGTCTTCTACCCATTCAACTGCAGAGACATCTTGACTTCTCTTTTTAAACACCTTTACGCTGAGATGGGCAGCTTGGGCGAAAGTAAGCAGCATTCATGAAAACAGCAGGTATAATGGGCATAACAATGTTATTTTTGTTGCGCCAAGCGTAATTACAATAGGCACGCATTCCGCAACGGCTAAAGTAATTCCGATGACAGAATGAAGACGAGTAGCTCTCAAAAGGTGAGAACAGAGGGATAATTGTCACAGAAAAGCGGAAGCGAAGTGATTTCCCCGCTCGATCCCCTCGTGCATACGGGGTTCACTTCCCCTATTCCCAGGGGATCCCTTCTCCGATGTTGTCTTTGTGCATACGGGGGTTCGCGTGGGGAGGGGAGGGGAGCCCCAGCGGGGATCATTTCAATGGTAAAATGCACATCCCCTCCCCGCGGGGATGTACTTGCATACGGGCCTTAGAATTCCGGAAGTAAATATCCACTAGATAATGGAAACAGCTTGTATTATGTGTTAGCACATGATTCTTTTAGAAAATTTGCTCAGGGCCAGAATTAGCTTTGTTGCTTGTCGCAGTCAGTTTCTGCAGGGTGATTTCTGCAATTATACCTAAATGCTAGGATCTCTACAAAGTTGTAAGCATGTAATTCGGACTCCTCTTCGTATAAACAATGCCTTCAATCACTAAATGCTTTTGAGGACATTGTAGAAGAGATTTAGAGGCAAAAAACTGAGCTCAGGATTGCAGTAATTCAATATCGGATTTGCTTCAACAGCGAATTTTTTTCCTAAATGCGTGCGTCAAAAAGCATCTAGAAGGTAGGTAAAACCCTGTTGTTTCTGAGCCAGCTGAGAAACTGCAGAATTTCCTCAACGCAGGTTTCTAAAGCGAGATACAAGCAGATAATCGATTCTTTTGGATGTACGAAACAGCTTGACTAAAGCAGCTGTAACGCTTTTTGATTCATACCTAGTAAAAAATTCGGAAGCTAAGAAGTGCTTCAATCAGTAAAAACTCCAGGTAGACTTATCGTTTTGACCAGCCTTCAAGCCTGCTTTTTATAAAATTTTTGAATTTTTCTTGATTAACCGAACGAAAACGAGGCCCGTTTTGATGACTGATAGTAGCATGGTAAATACATAGCTGTACCAAATTTTGGAGCATTTCATTCCAAAGAAGTGAGTTATGGCATTTTTTATAATGGACCTATACTTTTGTCCAGCACTGTAGCTACGCCTATGACACCGACCAAATGCGCGCGCAAAATGCTTGGTGCAAGACATTCTATTAAGCGGAAAATTTACTCGACTATATATACCTGTTTTGCTTTCTCTACGGAAGTGCGTGTTTGGCTTGTTGGTGTGCGCCAGGATCGTCCATGGATTTCGTATTATATCGCTTGTGCGCATCCCTCTTCTCATTTATGACTCCTTGCCCTTTGTCATTTCATCGTCACGTTTTTCGATTGATGCTTCTTCTTCCTCGCTTCTCCATCAGAGTCATGTGTGCTACTTTGTGGAGTTGTAAACAGAGTCGACTGAGAAGTGTGGCACACGATCGCCAGATACGCCCCCCCCCCGCCTCCGTCCATTTCTCCGCTGAGTGGCTCATTGGACCCCCAGCATTATCGCCTACCTACCGTTAGGCATGAGGCCCTACCAAGCATAATGAGTGTCATAGTCTTAGGCCCGTATGCACGTACATCCCCGCTGGGAAGGGAGGAGGGGGGGGGATCTGAGAGAGGATGCGTCATATCTCGCTACTCTACGTATCTTTCTTCTTCCTTTTCTATCTTACTTATGAAGGCTCTCATACCCTTATACCTGCACATAATGGATGCCAGGTTACATCCATATATGGTTTTTTGCCATTTTGTGCGATCCCCAGGGGATCACCCCTTATTTTCAAAGTGATTTATATTCTTGAGAAGTCAGTGAAAAAGCTGTAGAATTGTACTCAGGATATTACGGTACTGCTAAGCATATTTTCAAAAGAAGAAATGGAATCTGAACATTGTGAATTTTTCGATATCCCTGGTTCGCGAGTTAGGGATTACCGAAGATATCGATATCCTGAGATTTCACTTATTTCTATTATAATCATCTTTAGCAGCGCCGTAGTATATCCACAGTAAATTTTACAGCGTTTCATTGAGTTTTCAGGAAGATAAATGACATTGAAATTGAGAGGTGATCCCCTGGGGATCACACAAAATAACGAAAGTCTAATCAACTATGCCGGTAACTTGGCATCATTATGCGCAGATGTAAGGGTATGGGGACCTTCATAAGCAAGATAGAAGAGGAAGAAGAAAGATACGTAGAGCAGCGAGATATGACGCATCCCCTCTCAAATTCCCTCCCCTCCCCAGCGGGGACGATGATGATTCGATACCTTTGTGTGCCTCTGTTTTGCATAATGGGCTGATCTAACATCGCTGACACATAACTTGTTATCGCTCACATCAGTATCATGTCCCCTTCAATATGACCCTCCAGTTGTAACGTGCCACATTACATTTGATCCTAGTTGTAAGTATCGTGGGGCGGCCACTGCCATGCTCTATCTGTTACTCCCCAAACGTCAGATTTCTACTATGCAGCAGTTCGAGTAAGCACAAGTGTCCTACCTGTATAGATACGCATCACATAGTCCTAGTTCGGCAAGAGCCGCTTTCAATCGCTCTCGTTCTATGACAAAGTCAACAACTGAGTCCAGATGTTCTTCTGTTAACGAAGCAACTGGGTGCTCCTGAGGATGTAGTTGCGACGTACAAACATCTGCTCAATAAAAATGTGTGAAAAATAATATTAGAGTGCAAGAAAAGCGAGAAGAAGATGTGACAGACTTCGTGGAGTTATGGAACCCTTGGTGTTCTTACGACGTAACCAGGAAAAGCGAGAATCTAGGCGAAAGCCATCACCCATGGCTCCAACAGTTGGAGTAACTAGCTGAATGGTACAACATTCCATCAAAGTTAGTGAGAGATTGATAAATTCTTAGGATCAAACAGACCTTCCGTCCGTTAGAACTCAAATTAGCGACATGTGCTGAGTTTGAGTCGATTGCATAACGTTCTTCGACAACGAGACACCTGAGATATGTCAGTGGTTTGAGCATAGGTGGAGAATAGAAGTGGTTTACCAGTTAGTATAGCTGCTGTCCGCTTCTGGGCAGAATAGCGGAAAGCGAGGTAATCTTTCGAGGTATGCGCTTTTAGCAATTAACAAGAAGATCTGAACTATATATCTAACTAGCTGGCTTACCCGGCTCCGCCGAATGTTCCAAATAGAAAATTCCATTTCTTAACCGATCCGGACCAAACTTGACACACATACACTTCGGGCCCCGGCGGGTGTCACAGTCCACTTTTCTCTATCGATCGATGCCGATTTTATCGATTTTTTGCAAAATTTGAGCTAGGGGGCTGGGATTTGGCACAGGGGGGTAACCGAGCATGCTGATTACGAATACAATATTAGTTTTCGAAACCGTGCATTATTTTTATTGATTTTATCGATTTTTTGCAAAATTTGAGCTAGGGGGCTGAAATTTGGCAGAGGGGTGTAATCGAGCATGCTGATCACCCCCACGGGGGTGATCTGATATTGTATTCGGAATCCCCATGCTCACTTACCCCCCTGTGCCAACTCCCAGCCCCGTAGCTCAAATTTTGCAAAAAATCGATAAAATCGATATCGATCGACACGAAAAGTAGCCTATGACACCCGCCGGGGCCCGAAGTTATGTGTGCCAAGTTTGGTCCCGATCGGTTCAGAAATGGAATTTTCTATTCGGAACATATGTACATACAGACATACATACATACATACATACATACATACATACATACATACATACATACAGACAAACAGACATTCAGCTTTATATATAAGATGTAGCATATATAAGAACATTTCATATCAAAGCGTAAATTGATGACTTACCTTATCTGTACTAGTATATCTAGAAAGATCGTTTGACGAGTTCTCTACGAAGAAAAAAACCTCAGCCAACATTTTTTCACGAAATTTTAAGTAGTTCTGTAGCAACATTGATGACATTGCTAAATATAGATAGCAGTAGCATTACCGATGCTAGAGGACATACCGGCGGAACCAGTGCACAGTCGAACAACTTGACCAAACAGAAGCGAGAGCCGAGAGCTTAGGCTTACAGCCATATGTTCTAGCTCAACCCATGGATTCGTAGTCGCTTCAAACCTACATCTCAGAGATCTCATTTCTCGTTCCACATCACAAGGATCTGCAAAATCAACGCGTTGACTGCTTGCTGATTAAGTAGCGCTTACCGATTTGAATGGATGACATCAACTTATTCATGTTCTCGATAACAAATCGTTCTATAGAGCTAATAGCATTAAGTAGTACGTTACCCGTCGTCAAATGGATATGCTTCGATTTTGGATCAACCAGCTGAACCATCAAACTTTTTAAAAATAGATGAAAAGCTTTCGGAGTACTTACTGGATCAGGAGGTTGCCGCTTCCTTCGAGGTAGGACCGAAACAAGGGATGCGAAAACGGTAAGCTTCAAAGCAGCAAAGGCGCACTGGTCGAAAAAAAGCTGCCGCGAAGCAGCAACTAGTTGAGAAGGTTGAAACACAATTTCTAGAGTCCGTTTACAGTCTATCTCAAAAAACGTGAAATTTGGAGGTCGATGGCGATCCATAGACCTGCAAGGATTTCGTGTTCTGTACTACCGATAAAAAAAAGCCCAAGCCATTCACGTACCATAATTCGACATCCAAAACAAGAGTGTATGTCAACTCAAGGTCAGCATGGGCATCAAGACGCAGTGACACAAGGAAGGAATCACCTTAATCATCATAGTCAGCAAAAATAACACGCTGGAATGCTGGGTGAGTAAGCTGCCTCGTGCCAATACAATATGTAGGCTTTGTAATTAAAGGACATTGTAATCAAAAAAGTAACGATTTGTCGTTGTAAATGAAACCCAACTATCTGCGGCAATGCGCCGAACACGCTATGTCCCGCCGTAAAGGCAACTGAATGTGTACGATGACCAGCCGCTGTAAAATGCGTTAAGCCTCAACCCAAAAGACTTCATTGCCAGATGCCGCTGCAATCTGCGCACGTGTCTTTGATGTGCTGGTTCATTCATGTTTTGATCGCTCCGGGGCCGTCTCTTGTCCCTGATTCCGAACATGAAGTCGAGAATCCGCGAAAATCCCAACAGTCTCCGTTCCGGAGAACCCGCATGCCGGTTTCCGGAACGTTGACTGGCTTGTCGCGCACGGATGGGCGGGCATGGATGGGGAGGGCGGTGCCGTCTGGGGGTCCCTATCTTCGTTATTCCGGAGCGATTTTCTCCTTCCGAAACGACATTTTGCGCCGCGACTTGGGCACTGGCTTGATAGGCCCTACTACCATACGCTGCCAAAACTCAAGACCCTCAACTTAGGGTGGACGGTGCCTTTAAACATCCTTCAGATAGCACCGGTACTCATCGGCACCGTCCGAACTCGTCCTAACCCACGGGAACCTGCCAAATGCCAAACCTGCCAATAAATAAAATAAATAAATAAATGAGGGAAGCGAAGGTCGTATGCGCTCGAGTTACTTGTATGGTGCATCCTCCAAGATTGATCCCTTGGGTACCATCAACGTAGCTGACTCTCAATTGTTTTGGCACTTAACTCCAGCAAATTGAAGCGCTTTTTCGAAACTGACATGTTAAAACGATCTGAAGGCAGCCATGACGTTGATAGTACCTAAGGAAAAAATTTTGGGGGGTTGCACGACAGCTTATATGAAAGTGCTAAGAAATGAATATGATATCCTATATCAGCATGTCAAAGCAAACGCACTGTCTACCGTGAGCCCGCAAAAAAAGATCTTGCCCGCTTGAAACAGTAATCATTTTCGTGCTCAGCGCCTCAGAACACCGCTTGCAAATGAATCTGAGATTTTGCGTCTTGGGTTGTAATAACGCCAGCGGTTCCGTAGCGTAGACTTCTCTTTGAAATGATAAGCGGGCATAGACAAAGCAGGAATTTATTTATAGTTTCTTCCTCAAGCTCGTATACATCCCCTTCAAAATTGATTCACTTTGGCCTTCTGTCTGAAGATTGAGTACCAAGAAAATCTCACACTTATCTCTATAAACCACTATAAGCAAGCAAAATGTAATGTATGCGTACCGGAAAAGAGAGATCGAAGCACTTGCAGAGCAACTACACGTTAGACATAATAAAAACCTAACAATTATAATGAGAATCAAAGTGGTTAACAGCAGTAACATAGCAACAGCAACATATTGTAGCAGGCAAGACCTGAAGCGCGCAACTACAGAGGAGAGGAGGCCGCTCAGAGCTGCTCACCTTTCAATCCGATCCCGCGAGGCTCCGCTCTCTCGCCTGCAGCTCGACAATTGCCCTAGTGAAGGTAATTTCGGCGCGCTTTACAGTCCCGATGATGCTTACTACTCGAGTATTAATGAATTACAGGGCATGAAGCTCTTTGACTTGAGTTTAACAGTAGCTACACACCACGCAAAGTCTCTGATTTCACGAGAATGTTACTGAGGAACTACTCCCAGAAGTATAGCGGGCGGGGCAATGCATATGATAATGAATTCAAGGGCAGTTTTTGATAGTTGAGAGTACGAAAAGCAACAATTCAGAATGAAGGCTCAACACGTTCTTTATCGTATGAATGTCGCCAAAGCTCTCCCTCTATATCTGGAGCCGCCTATGATACCTTTAAGTACCAATATTTCTAGTACTACAAAAGCAAAGGAAAAGTAAAATATCCAGAAACAAGTATAAACAAAAACTAGCACATAAACCATATATGAAATGCTTACCAAGTGGTAACTCTTCATCAATGTACGTCAATTCTACACTGCGCGAGACGCCAACTCCATTAACGATGCAAGGAGGAAGTATAAATGCTTCGCCAGGACGTTGTGAATCGATGCATTGGATATCAGCAGACGTAAACGATGAGGATGGTCTTGGAGTTAGCCGGATCTACAATGGCAAGAGTGATAGTTAAAAAAGTCAAAAAAAGAAGCATTGATTAGGGGACAGTATAGCTACGCACTGCGATAGGAATTTGTTTTGTTGATGACGTTCACAAGCTAAACTGTAGTTCACCGTCTTCCAACAAAAACGGATATCGATGATAAGGCAAGTCTATTCGCACTAGCTTTGTTCGCGGCCTAATTTGCTGTAGTGAAACAAAAAATCTAATATGAGTGAATATGGAAAGATATTGCATGAAGACTAACTACGTTGATTGAGTAAGTTTCCATGAAAATCACGTTTACATATGCGACTAACCTGATAGTATCCCCTCGTAGAGAGATCAACATTTAACAGATTTTCCAAATTGATATGTACATTGAACACAGGGTGAAGCTCCACTCGCATCACTGAAGCTTAACAGCGGGTGCAGAAGGGAGAGTTGAGCTAGTTGTATAGATAATAAGAATATACAGGTGTTGAAAGTGAAGTCAAGACCGCATCATGATATGGTCAGTCACGTCATCAAGGGGATGGTCGACAGAGCGCAAACAACAGAGAACATGACGATCGCCTTTCGCAGTTTACGTTGCTGAAAAAAAAGTGCGACACGGAACTCATAGATCGTCATGATAAGCCTGATTGCGAACACCGTTCGCTTGACCCTGAGTAAACAGAAGATGCAAATTAGTGCGTTGGAGCTGCGGAATGTGGAAACAGCCGAGATGCGGAGCTACTGACTCACTATCACAAATCAAAAACAGTAACTACGACTATTCATTCGTTCTAAGACCTGAGAAACTCAAAATCGCTTTGCAAACATTGTCTAAACAAACTGAAGTTGTTCTTTTCCTGTCAAGTAGCAAATAATTGAGAACTAGATAATTCACAAGTGTAAACTTGTCAAATGCACGATGCTTGTTTTAACGATGTGTGCAGAGCGTTTTCAAGTCTATTAATCTCTAAATGACTGATATATCTATAGGATCTTCGATAATATGGATCACAGCTTCTCCCAAAAATATTTCCGTACGTATCCTAAAAGGCAGCCACTGCAACTGCGTACCCATATACAAGTTGTTTGAAACCATTTCTTGCTCTCTACTATCCTGCTCACTAGGGAAGATTCCCATATCACAGTGGCTATCTGGAACGAAATGCATGTCATTAGTGTGTTTTGATGAGCTGATTCCACATCTACATTTCAGATTTGCCGCGCGAGAAAAAAGTTATAAGTGCTTAAAGGTCCAAATACGGAAAACAAGTAATGCAACACCTACAAGAAATGATTGTTCGAAAACATTCATTTTTCGGGTAAATGTGTGCATTACTTGCAGTCAGTACACTTAACACTGTGCCAAATGTCCAGTTTAAGCGGGTTTAGGACGATTCGCACGACCGTAATCCACCGCCGCGCGCGACACACCCTGCGGCGGCTTTTGCCTGAGCAAAACAGGGGAGGAAAGATTTGCGGCACGCATTACATGTTAAGACATGTCAAAATCAGTATCGTCCCCTCCACAGCTCGTGCTACCCCCCTTGGTCTGCGTCTCAGAGCTGCCACGTGTGGCTAACATGTTGGCAACGTAGCAGGGCATGTTTGCAACATGCCACAATATGTTGGCAGAACATTTTGGCCACGCCAACATGTTGCTGCATGTTGCCAACGTGTTGGTTCCAACGTTGTCATCGTGTTTGTTACACCTGGCACGTCCGCGACGCCAGAAGGGTAGCAGCAAATGTGGAAGGGACGATAAGACTCTGGAGACCGCCAAAAAGACCGTCTCCCAATTCAAGCTAGATTTCAAAGTATACTATGCATTAGAACTCCATGGCTCAATACTTTGACCGCTCATAACTTCTTCGCGCCGCATATATGGAAGGTAGATTTGGAGCTCAACAGGACGCATCTAATGGTATGCATTATATTCTATTTCATTCGACGCTGCGGCTTGAGATCCTTCCCTTGTAAGGCCCCGGGCAGACTTCACGCGATTTGATCGTCGCGACTGAATCGCGACGAGACAACTGCTACAACATCATTCCATGCCGCTCAGCTTGCATTCGGTTGTGATACTTTTCCAGCTCAAAATTTTTGAATGTGAAATGAAAATGAATGGAAATCTTGGCGATTAGATCGCGACGATTAAGTCGCGTGAAGTCTGTGGGCCTAAGAGAAGCAAGCGGGGGGGGGGGGGTCTTCATAGGTGAAGGTTCCTGCGCTACCGGCCCTCAAAGGCACCGTCCACCCAAAATCTCGAATTCAATGTTTTTGTTGCCTTCAGGCCTTCTGAAAGTCCTGATTCCGAATATGGAGTCGAAAATCCGCGAAACCCCAAAAATCCCTGTTTCGAGAACCCTCTGCAACAAACGCAGGCGAGATAAAGCATGCAAGTGGGCGAGGCGACCATGTCGCCCGGCCTACTTTGCTACTTCCGGAGCGGATTTCTCGCTCCAGAAGTAGTCTTTTGCGGCGAAGCTTGAGGGTTTCCCTAGTGTGGGGGTCCACACTAGTATGCCATCATAGTCTCGCCAACCTCCATACGGGTGGACGAAAGGGCCAGGACGAACCATAGGTGCGATAAGGTGAGAATGACCTCTCCAGGGTGAAGGGGGTCACGGTGGTCGCAGCCCCTCCAGGGTGAAGGGGGTCAGAGGGGGTAGGGGGGGGATGGGGGGGGGGGTGAGTGCGTGTGTGAATGTGGGTTGCAATTACAACAACGCGCCGCCAGGAACGGCATCGTTCCTTTCACAACCTCATTTTATGAGGACCGATTTTATAAACGGTCTGAAAAAGTGAGTGTGGTCAAAATTATTGGATGGTACACAAGTGCAAAACTGAGGTTTTTGCAGGCGTAATGTTCGAGAAGGAAAGGTTATACAACGCTTGTCACTTGCTTCATACGAATATGGGATGAAGGACCGGACCGACCGATGACTATATTCTTGTCTTAATGTTGCCGTTTCATGCTTTGTAATTTAATGAAAATATTGAAAGATGACAACTATCAACTATTGTGAGGCCATCAGAAGTTGTAATAGAAAGTGGTTCTGAGAAGTGTGATGATAGGAAGTACCAAAAATTATGAATGATGAAGCACGTAGAAAGAAGTAAAATATTGTCTGCCCAGGAAACTCTGAAAGATACAGTAAAATTATTGCATGTATAAATGGCCATTCTTGGTAAATGTGCACGTAAATGGTAAGAAGGAAACACACGGGAGCAGGATTGGAACCTTCTCGTTATCTTCTAAAGAAGGCATTGGATGACAATGGAAGAAACAAGGACAGGAAAATCGGAACGCCTGACTGCCACGAAAAATTTATTCCGCTGAAGACTACTGGACACTGCGTAATACTGAACTTGTTAAATTCGGCAATTGGAAAAATTAGGGTTGTTGAAACAAAGTGAGGTTGTAACTACTTCTTGTTTAAATTTAGATTTAGCATAGGAGATGTTTGTACGAAAATTGCTTGTGTATCGGAAAGGAGGGAGAAGATTTATAGGCAAAATTTGAAAAAATTCAATTAAAAATTCATAACGTTTGTAGATGAACAGCTAGTACAAGGAAATGCTCACCATTGAAACCGTTTCTTCCTCTGCTTTCAGAAAATATATAGTTTGTCTGGGATCCGTTGAAAAAAGTGCGTGGTGAAGGGGGTGCCTAGTGATTTCTGGAGATTTTCGAGTTTTCAACATAAAAAAATTCATAACTTCTGTAGATGAACAGCTAGTACAAGGAGATGCTCACCATTAGAACCGTCTCATTCTCCGCTTTCAGAAAATATATAGTTTGTAAGGGATCCCTTGCAAAAAGTGCCTGGTGAAGGGGGGGGGGGGGGTGAGAATTTTATAACGGGAGTTCTCATAGACGTCTTTTTACAATGGTGAAAAGGCCTCTGCCTGAGAACTCCCGTTATAAAATTCTCACCCCCCCCCCCTTCACCAGGCACTTTTTGCAAGGGATCCCTTACAAACTATTTATTTTCTGAAAGCGGAGGAAGAAACGGTTTCAATGGTGAGCATTTCCTTGTACTAGCTGTTCATCTACAGAAGTTATGAATTTTTTATATTGAAAACTCGGAAATCTCCAGAAATCACTAGGCACCCCCTTCACCACGCATTTTTTTCAACGGATCCCAGACAAACTATATATTTTCTGAAAGCGGAAAATGAGACGGTTCTAATGGTGAGCATCTCCTTGTACTAGCTGTTCATCTACAAACGTTATGAATTTTTAATTGAATTTTTTCAAATTTTGCCTATAAATCTTCTCCCTCCTTTCCGATACACAAGCAATTTTCGTACAAACATCTCCTATGCTAAATCTAAATTTAAACAAGAAGTAGTTACAACCTCACTTTGTTTCAACAACCCTAATTTTTCCAATTGCCGAATTTAACAAGTTCAGTATTACGCAGTGTCCAGTAGTCTTCAGCGGAATAAATTTTTCGTGGCAGTCAGGCGTTCCGATTTTCCTGTCCTTGTTTCTTCCATTGTCATCCAATGCCTTCTTTAGAAGATAACGAGAAGGTTCCAATCCTGCTCCCGTGTGTTTCCTTCTTACCATTTACGTGCACATTTACCAAGAATGGCCATTTATACATGCAATAATTTTACTGTATCTTTCAGAGTTTCCTGGGCAGACAATATTTTACTTCTTTCTACGTGCTTCATCATTCATAATTTTTGGTACTTCCTATCATCACACTCCTCAGAACCACTTTCTATTACAACTTCTGATGGCCTCACAATAGTTGATAGTTGTCATCTTTCAATATTTTCATTAAATTACAAAGCATGAAACGGCAACATTAAGACAAGAATATAGTCATCGGTCGGTCCGGTCCTTCATCCCATATTCGTATGAAGCAAGTGACAAGCGTTGTATAACCTTTCCTTCTCGAACTTTACGCCTGCAAAAACCTCAGTTTTGCACTTGTGTACCATCCAATAATTTTGACCACACTCACTTTTTCAGACCGTTTATAAAATCGGTCCTCATAAAATCGGTCTAAGGACATAGCTGGAAGAATGCCACGATTGCCCTTCACTTGCTTCTTGACTGTAGAGCCTACAAATAGGTTGATAGCGTGGTCATTTTATCAGGTATAACCTTACCTCACTGTTGATTTTTTTGTCGGTTTTGGTGAAGGGGGTCACCTTGGTTTCCGGCTCAGGGGTGAAGGGGGGGGGTGAGCAAATTCTCACACTATCGCACCTATGGGACGAACTCCGCCAGGTTTGAGCCGCCTTTGCGGATTTGGTCATGCAACGGCAACTGGTACTGCAATATTACCAGCGAAGGCCGGGTCAGAGTGGCGGAATTCGTTCCCTTACCCTCAAAAGTGAAGATGGTAACTGGTGGGACCTCTCAAACGTCACCGAGGGGGGGGGGGGGTTGGAGAACTACACGAATGACTCCCTAGGATTTTGGACAAAAATGCTTCTTAAAGGCACCGTCCACCCAAAGAGGTCCCATCCGTGCGCACCATCCAATCACCGTTCCGGAGAACCGGCTGGGGTTCTCCGGACGGAAGCTGTCGGGTTTTCGCGGACTCTCGAGTAGGTAGGCGCCTAGCCGATTACCTGCTTCAGCAGGCCGCGGCGCATCTAGTTAAGTGACGTCATCTGACGTCACGTTGGACGGATATCAAAGTGGCGTCTGCGATGTTCGCGAAACAGTAGTTTTGACTATCAGAAAGATGATCAAAAAGCCTCGCAACATGAGAGAATGACAAAAAGGCCTTATCAGAAAAATGTTTGTTGTAACTAAACCGCGAATGCCGACTTAATTTTTCAGCAACGTGACTCCTGACATTACTACGCCGCGTTCTGCTGAAGCAAGACGGCCGGCTAGTTTGGCGCCTACCTGACCGATGCCTGCCTCAGCAGGACGCTGCGCATCTAAAAAGCTGATGTCATTCGGCGTCATGTTTGACGGAAATTGAAGTGGCGTCCGCGATGCTTGCAACAACAGTAGATTTGGGGAGATGACAGAAACGCCTCGCAGTAGAGAATGATAAAGACCTTACCAGCGAAAAGTTTTTGTTGGGAAATGGCGCATGCCGATTGCTTTCCTTACAACGTGACGTGAAATGACAGTAAATGCGCAGCGTTCTGCCAAAGCAGGGGGTGGAGGACATTAGGTCGGGTGGAGGAACGAACGCCTCAATTAGGCACCGCCTCCGCGGACCACTGGTCCCAACACGATGCATATCAGTAGGACGAAAGGACCAGCAGCCCGCGGAGGCGATGCCTAATTGAGGCGTTCGTTCCTCTACCCCATTAGGTCGCCAAGTTTGGAAGAGTCCCGCGCGGATTCCCTGCAGGAACGCATGTCCGCGCATGTAGGTACAAGGGTGCGTATTTGTCGCAAATGACCGCGGGGACCGCCCTTTTTCGGCGACCTAATGTCCCCCACCCCAAAGCAGGCAATCGGTTAGGCTTGAGATATACCTGACGATGGGTGGCTATAGCTGACGATAAGACGCTGCGAGCAGCAACGTCTTGCGTATCGATTGACGCCAGGCGACGCTGCTGCTCCTAGCTGCTGCAGCCAACGCGAAACAGACCCGCTATAGCTAGCGATGCTGCGCTGCTTCTTGCTGCTCTCTGCTGCTCCCAGCTGCTCGTTGCTGCTCCTCGCTGCTACGCGAAATGAAGCTCACTTTTTGTGAGCTTCTCTCAGCTGCTTCGAGCTGCTAATTCTGATTTTGCTCGAATTTGCTCCTTTTTAACATATTTCTGAAATTCTGAAGGATTTGCAGAGCAGTTTCGATACTGATGAACTATGACAAATTTTCACCGAAACGCAAATGCATCGATAAGAAAATCGATAAAGAATTGACGAAGTCGACAAAGAATGAAATCTGATCAACTGCGTAGTCAAATCAGAGTAACGATGAAAAGCTAGAGGATTCAAACGATTCAGTGGGATATTACTAGTACACCTCAACAAATTAACGTCTGCTATGACCTAGATAGTTTAGATGTTGCCTCAAGCACACATCAAGGTTTAACTGTGACACTCGCTTGCTATCTGTCAAATGATTAAAATTTTCTCAGTATATGCAACATTTGGCACGCCATTTTATGCTTGTTATAAAGAAAATTTCCTGATGAAAACAGTACGACTTTTTTGGGTCTCATATTATTTCTCAGTTTCGGTAATCGTAAAGACTTACTTTCCTTAATGACCTAAGCTAAGCATAGTAATGGGTAAAGCTACTTTGTTCTTGCACCCACAGCATACCCAGCGCAGCAGCCACGAGCAGCTAAGGGCAGCGCAGACATCAGCGATTCGCCAACACCCGCTATACCTCCATCGCCAGGTATATCTCAAGCCTTAGTTTGGCACCTACCATATTCGGTATAAGGGACATGAGAAGGTCCCGAAGCGACCAAAATATGGATCGAGAATCTAAGGGGACGGTGATCCCTAGAACTTTATTCCAGCGGCCCTATCCAGGGCCACAAGTATGATAGCTCTATGTAGCATCATGTGTATGCAAAGGCCGCAAACTCGCCGTCTCTCGCGATCACGCAGAGTCCTATACTCACTTATATTCAAGTGTCGAGTAAATTCTTCGCTCAATATAGTGTGCTTGCACTGTAGGTGAAATGCGGTAAAACATGTGCGTGAACAACAGCTAAAGGCCGCTGTATGACGAAGGCGCACAGGCACATTAATAGTTAAGCGGGCGCGAACGCCGCGAGACCGTACAGTCTGCTCCAATCCCAACCAGGCCAAAATCGGCTTGGCAGGAATCCGTGTCGCGAGGGTATTGCGTCACGCGGACTCCCGCCAATCCAACCGCTAACCGATTTGAAACTTACTATATCTAAATTACTGTCGGGTGATCATCACGGTCGACTTCGGCATTCTGTGAGCCTATCATATTTGATCAGTGGCGGTCCCAGGATTTCGGACCGGGGTTGGGACGACAAAAATTTCTTTCCAATGAAGGTGCGTGGCGTTAGCCACGCACTCCGAAAAATTTTTTGGGCTCTCAGAATTTTCGCGGGTCCCGAACCCCTGAAATCTTGAAAAAGGGGCGTGGAGTTAGCCAGAAGCCAGAGAATTTATTATGTAAGGCTAATTTGAATTCTTAAAATTTTTTAATTATTTTAATTGTTCACAAAGATAAACAAGTCTTGCGCATTCTTATGACCCATATAAGTGATTTTCAAAAATTTCGACCCTCTCGGGGAGGGAGGGGGGCGCCACCCCCCTCCCGGTCCGCCACTGCTTTTGATGCAGCGTAATCCCTATAAGGCCTCGGGCAGAGTTCAGGCGATTTGATCGTCATTTAATCGCCACAAGACAAGTGTTACGAGTTCATTGCATGCCGGTCTTCTTGTATTTCGGTTGTGATAGTTAGTCGGGCTTGATCGTGTTGGAAAGCCATCACAACCGAAATGCAAGAAGATCGGCATGCAATGAACTCGTAACACTTGCCTTGTAGCGATTGCATCGCGACGATCAGATCGCGTGAACTCTACCCGAGGCCTAGTGCAATATCGCGTAATGTACATGAATGCACTGCGTCCTTGTGTAACCGATGGCGGCACGCTTCCTTAATGACGTCACAGCCAGCCTTCTGACAGCAACTCGTCCCGTAAAGTGTGCAGCCCATGCGGCTGGACTCCACCCAACGTCGCGTGAGTTCCGGAACTTGTCCAGTGTTCATGATCCACTCTGATGTTGGTGTTTATTGAACTTTCATGTTTCCTCTATCCTTATATGCGTTTAGGCAGATTACGTCATACTTACCAGTAAAATATAGTTCTACTGTGCTTCGCTTTATTTCGCAACTCTTGATTCAGCTCTAGCTTAAAGAAGTACCTTCTGGAAGCTTCTATCAAGCACTTGCGCCATATTCCTTGCATTGTTTGATTTCAGTGTATGCGATGACTGAATCAAGCTTAGACCAGCCGAAGAAACGCGGCAAGGAGAAACCAGTCGAACATTTAGTGCTTGATACCGGTGCAATCATTGCTAATGTCAATCTCCATGTGAGTTTCATGCATCATCACTCTGCGCATTTGAAATGTCTATGTGGTCACACCTTTGCCTTTTTCTGTGATTTATGCCATCGATTTTGGCTTTGTACACATAACCATTCGCGTTTTGTAAAGACAAAACGATCGATTGTTGAACAATATACGCTGTCTGATCCTGTTCTTTCATTTTTCTTATTGGTTTACCCCTATCACAAACCTACTCCAGTTGCTTGGGCACTTAAAGCATCGATCCAACTCAAACAAAAAAAACAGTAGTATTTGGCACGAGACCAAGACTCGATCGCTCCATATGAAAGGGTTTCCTGTTCTAGGAACTCGCTGAACATTACTACTCACCCCCTGAAGTTGTTGCGGAACTGAAGTCGAGGCGCTCAAAAATAACTTTTGACGTTTTGCCATTCGAAGTACAGCTGAGGGAACCTTCTACGGAAGCAATTAGGAAAGGTGTGTGATCTATCTTGTCCGTTTGACATCATCCAGATGCCATTGATTGTCCAGTCACTCCAGTCACGTTTCCCAAAAATATATCGATCAGGTTTTTATACCAGTACTCGCTATTGAGCAACTCAGCCTTCAAATCAAATTCTTATGTCAAGATTGCTATACTTGTAGTCGTCCCTTCTCCACTGTAGTCTGTGCGTCTCTTCTGTATATTTTCTCTTTTAGTTGTCGACGCCTCGAAAAAGACTGGAGACTTTGTTTCTTTGTCTTTGGTCGACATCAAAGTTATCGCTCTCACCTATGATCTTCATCGACAGTATGGCAGCCGTACAAAGGGAGATGTTGACAAAGTTGTTCTAGATTTCCTTTTTATTCCATATTCTTATTAACCAAAAGGCTTGTTCAGATTTCTGAGTCAGAAGTTTCCATAGAAGGTTTGTTGGACGAAATTCGATTGAACGCTGAGCAAAACCGCTCAGTTGATGAATCAGCCTCTACCACTGCCGTGTCAAATGTTGATAACGACAGTCGTTCTTTGCCTAGCACTTTACCTGAAGGATTCTGTGAGGCTGTAAGGACTCCATACATAGTCAGTTTTCTAATAATATCGATCATCTAGAGCGATAGCGACGACGATGAAGGCTGGATCACGGAAGACAATCTCAGTAAAGCTCTTAGGAAGATGGGAGCTTTAGAAGTGAGGTGATTTTTCAGTAAGCAGTGGCTCTGGTCACCTTTTCGTTGAGTTGAATCTAAGCTTCGTGTTCTTTTCAGGTTGAAGAAGGTGTTGCGGTGGGATGTCTAACCACAGACTTCGCCCTTCAGAATGTCTTACTCAGTATGCATCTCGGTCTAGTATCACTAAATGGCTACCGAATAAAGAAGTTGAAGTCGTTTGTACTACGATGTCGCGCATGTTTCAAGACCACTCCCATTATGACCAAGGAATTTTGTCCAGCATGTGGCAATAAAATGCTTCATAAGGTAAATCACCCTTTACTCTTCCTTTACAAAGCAAAAAACCTGGCTAGTTTTTTGTTTCAGTGTGCAGTGTCTGTGGACGAAAATGGAGAACAAGTTTTGCATATAAACTGGCAGCGACTTGCAAATAAACGTGGACTGAAACATTCCTTGCCTGCCCCAAAGGGTGGAAAACATGCTGTAAGAGTTACGATGTCTAGGAATGTTCTCGATAGTCCCGTTGATCCCATGAAGTTTGTAGTCGATTAAGAAAGACCATCAGATTTTCTCCGTCCATTATGCTGCAATCAGTGCATTCTCGCATGCTAACCTTCAGAAGTATATAGAATTCAAGCTTAGACGAGACGCTGACCCAATTGGTATGACTAGCTGGCTAGAACATATGTTCCAAGAGTCCTCATTTTTTAATTGGATTTTTTACTTGAAAATAATCTTCAGAATCCGTCAAACTTTGAAAAAAAATTAAGTTGCAACTTTTCGTTGACAAATCCGATCAGTGCCAACTTGTCCTACTCAAAACGTATAGGCTTCAAAACATAAGTGAAAAAAAGTTTCTGGACTTAGCATTATTTATCGAAAAAAGAAAACACAGTTTGATGTATTTCTTCATCACATCTTTTTCAGGTCATAGTTGGCTGATTTTGCTTCTATTTTTTTTCAGATCACCGAAAAACTTTTTGAAGATCAAAGACTGCCACAGAACCGCATGGCCAAAGTTCGAGCTGATCCTTTTGCAGATAGCCCTTTTGAAATGCACGATGTTACTTCCAGGTAGGTGAAGACTGAACTAGCCAGCACCAAGTTTCGGTAACATCGGTTATCTATATAATTAGATCCGCTATGTTGGGAGTACGAACATTGAATAATCGGCAAAAGCAAAGGCGTAATTCAAACGAAGCTCGAGCAGGTGGACGGCGGAAGTGATAGGCAATAGATAGCCACTTGTGTTTGGTTTGTTTGAGATCAGTTGTTGTTAAATTTTGTCTGTTATCTACAACAGTTGATTTCTGTCTTGTTGTTGTTGCTTCGATGTTTTTTGGATGAATTGCGCTGCTAATGAAAAGATCATACTTTATCGAATATAGATCTTTCATTTTAAGTGGTTTACTCCATTTTATCGTACTACCTTGTTTTGAAGTGGCTATAACCCGTCTGTTTATACCTCTCAATCTCAGGTTTGCAGATGTCCTCAATATACTATTGCCATCAGTGTCGTAATCAGGTCCCTCTGAGGAATACTGTTAGTTTTTTTTCTTCATTTTTACTCCATCATTCGTGCTCACCATTCTATTTTAGGACATGATATGCGGTATATGCGGTGGTGAGTTTCTGGAGCAGTTGTCAACACCACCTCCTCGTCCGCAACCTCGATTCGTACATCATCCTGCTGGCAGGGTACATTATCATCAGCATCTTCACCATCATCCCCCCACACAACATGCACACATTCATTTACAACAGGGTCCCAGTCAGGCAACACCGGAGGTTCGTGCGCTTCCTATTAATGTTTAGCCATTTTATCTATAATGTACATATGCAATCGCACAAATCAACCTCCGGTGTTAAATGACTTTGTAAGTCTCAGTAATAGTATGTTTTGTAAGTCTCAGTAACTATGTCCACCAAATAATCCATTTTTTTGGGATAAGTATAGGTTCACGAAGGTACGCCATCTTCCTTGCTAGACTTATTTTCCTTTTGCAGAATTTTCTTTCAACAATTATGGGAATGATCAACAACATGCAAGGTCCCGCACCTACTTCTTCAACACAAAATGGTACCGAGGCAGAAAATAATGCTGCATCTGAAAATCCTCGTCCACAAGGCCCCCAAAGTGTCGTAAGTATTGACGTAGATGCCGTGCTTTCAGCACGCAACACTTTTCATTCCAGACGTTTTCTCTCGATCAGGCCATGCAGATGCACCCAATTCTGAGTCAGGTACTTGCAACACTGGGAAATCCAAATATGCAAGTGCGCATACATATCGGAGATGACGCAGAGTAATTTTCTTTTTGTGCAATGTTCGCTTAATCAGTTACATGACATCCTTTCTATAGTGGAACAATGCATGGGGCTTTCGGTGATTACGTATGGGGTGACAGCGGCATGGATCGTATAGTTACCCAGCTTCTCAATCAGATGGACGGAAATATGAGACCAGTAGGATTGAATGAGCAGCAGATCAACAGAATTCCCATAATTAAGGTATGTTAAAGAATTGTTCCCTTTCTATGGCATTGTACCCGTTCTTTTGAGGTTACACAAGAGCATGTTGATAAAGGCACTCAATGCACTACTTGCTTCGAAGATTTCAAACTTGGTGAGTTTTTTGTGCATAGGAAGTTTTGAACATTGAATCTCATTTCTTCTGATAGAAATTTGATATGATCTGGGGTATTTCTTACTGAGTGACATTCCAGTTTTTTTTTGTTTCTTCATCCATGTGTAGACTCAAACATGATACATGATCATCGTCTCTCGTAGTTGGGTTTCATGTTAACTCCTTATTTCAGGTGAACTTGTAGCTGAACTACAGTGTCATCACATTTTCCATTGCCCATGCGTTGTGCCTTGGCTTCAGCAACGTCCATCATGTCCGATATGCAGACAAGAAGTCATTGCATCACAGTTTCCAGATCCTGCCCCAGGAGCTCCCACTGTTTCGGTAAGTTTTGGAAAGCACCTTCTGCGTTGTACGTTGTACCCGCTGCTCCAGAGAACTATCGGTTACTCGACACCTTAAAAACATGCCACTTCTCATCCCAGTTTTTACTGCGCTATCTTGGAACAGTGAGAGATATTACTATCCATAGGGTATTTCCAGAGTTTGGAGGCAAAGCACGATCTGATCGAACCGGAATTGGACTGAAACCACTGAATTTAAAGCGTGATTGGTACCATGTCTTTTACTTTATATCTTGCACTCGTGTGAAATTCTGGTCACTTGTTTTTTCAAATTTCAGAAACAAGTGTTAATATATCAAAATTGGTAATATATCTTGCGGCAGAACTCAGTTTTCTTCTCCCTTCTGTATCCAAAGTGTTTTCATTCTGTCGTACTTGGGTTATGATGGCGAATGCGATGTACATACGAACTGTGTTGAGTGTAGTTGTTCAACTTGTGCCTATTATCATAAAAATGTTTTTTTTTCGATAGATGAAAAAACCGCTAGGGGTGAAAATGAATAAATAAATATTTGAGCCTGTTAACCCAGAAGAATGTTCATAACATAAATATATATATGCAAACAACAAAAACAGCGACAAGAAAGTGGATGAGAGTAAAGCGACTACTGTTCACGATGAATAATAACAAACAAGCCAAGAAGACCCAAAACAGCATATTTTAACTTCGGATAATCGTTCATAAGAATCGTGACCATTCCGACGTAAGGAAGGATACCCTTTGTGCGACCAACTACATCGTTACGATGAAGCCACATCTGTCCAGGAGCATAAAGTCCGCGATCGTCAACCTAGCATAGCATCAAAAATAAGTTCCATATCATTTTAGGTTGTCTACATACTTGATTGTTGTCACCCTTTGTGAGGAACTTCGTATCTTGAGGCGTCTTCTCATGGACCTAGAGAAAACAAGAATACATTATTGTTCTTATGATGATCATGAATGAACTTACCTTGATCACTCTATGGACAATAGGGATATCCCGACCGTCGATCTTGAATACAGTAATGTCTCCTGTCCTGATCGGATCAGCTTGGTCATTGGTGAGCAACAAAAGATCTCCACGGAAGAAAGCTGGCTCCATAGAGCCTAAATTTTATGAATGAATCTCTCACGCAAGCGCATTCATACAAACAAACCTGACAGAACCACTACAATAGGGCTTTCCGAACCCGTTACCACCATCAAACCTTTCCATATCATCAGTGCTGACGAGACCACCATCGCGAAATTCAAACCCTAACGAAATAAATTAGATAAATTAGTTGATCGACTGAGTCTCCTACCTGATATATGAGTTGCCGAAAGTTCATCCGTCTAATCTCATCGAACATTGCCAGGTCCAAAAGCCCCATGATGGCTGAAATTGCTTTTTAGCTAAAAGGAGGAGGAAACGATTACGTATAAACACGGCGAGGTAATAGGCCTCTTGAAAACAAAACAAGGGGGTACAATTCAATCTTCATCATTTTATTTGCAATAGAAGATAGAGAATGAGATCACAGTCATAAACAACGTACTTACATAATGGCTGGAGCGTTAATCGGGTTTCCTTACCCTCACCCTGCCAAAAAAAAACTACAATCACTTCTGTTTGAAGTGAACAAGCCAATAATTCAAGAAAACACGGCATCACTATTCTGTCGAGCACAATCCTAGATAATCGTCCATCAATGTACCAATTGCAAAGATGTCATTAGCATCAACTCGTGTGCCAATCAGCTTGACCTAAAACAACATGGAAGATCAGAAGATAGAGCCATGTAGACTATTCCGTGCATCCACTGCAGATTTCAGTTATTTCATGATCAAGTTTTACTGTACACCATCGCGCCTCAATAAGACTTACCTAAGGCAATCAACATTGCCCAAGGAATGTTCGGAGTATGGAAGGAGCGGGTAAGAGTTTCAAAAGCTTGAGAATTGGTTTGTACTAGGAATGCTCCAAAATCTCACTTGCGGTCAAAGGAGAAAGAGGGGCCAACTGGGCCAGTAACAGAAACGTCTCAGTCACAAAACAAATTTTCTTCCAATTCGAGGTCATTATGGAGTCACTGAGGGGATATAAAAATTCTTTGCCACTAGGTTTCTGGCGAATCTTCGCTGGAAAATAGGCAGCTGCAAGAATGTACAGAATTTTGTACTCAACACGTAAAAGCATGGGCAATAAACTTGAGCAGATATCACGCTGGAAAATAGGAGCTGCAAGAATGTACAGATATGATACAAGAATCAAATTCACTGCCACTTAGCAATTCGACTGGGCTAAACAAATCATATGACAAAAAGTAAATGTTACTTGATTTAGAATATGGAATGAGACTGACCCTGATTTCATCATCTTGTTTGATGATTGAAGTTTCGTCTTCTGTCTTGTAGCACGGTGGATTGGAGTTGGGATCAAATTCCATGTCTGGAGGTATGCAGTGACGGGATATGAAGCATGACAGCGGACCAATATCGCAGAATATGCCGACTTTATTGACCTAGAACAAGTGCGGATAGTTATTGGATGGTTGTAGGATGGACAGGACTAGTTCGATATTATACGTACTTGATTTACAACAGCATCGACTACCTGCCCTTTGAAAGGGCGAAACACAATAGCTTTGTATTTTACAGGATATATGACGAATCCGCGGCCTAAAGTGAAAGGAAATATTCTTGACGCACATGAAGTAAGCTGCATGCAAGCTCACCTGGTTGAATAAGACCATGTCCTATTGTATCGATCGTTGTGACTGCTATGACGAATCCGAATTTGCCCGTGCAAGTGCCTTCCACCTCAGCAAACAGCTTCATCTTGATAGTTTCATTGAGATTAGGACCGAAGTATTTCGGATGAAGGCAGACTTCATGTTCCATAGACAAGTGGAAGAACATTGCCCCTACAATCGGAAGCAGTGATATGTATTGCAAACTTGAAAAATAAGGAGATAAAAATTTATTACAATTAACGGAGATGTGTAAGCAATACAGAGATTAGAAAGAAATATAGCCACTTTGCTGGGGAATATCTTTTGTATAGTGTTATGATGACAGAAACATTTCCAAAAAGGATTCAAACATATCAAAAACCAGATTAATTCAGCCTGACACCAATTTGGTATCCTAATCTTCAACAAAAAGAATGCGATGGTCTTGCTCTATTCAACACGGCGTGAACAGGCGAGATGCATTTTTCGGCATCAAGGTAAATTTCACTGATCCAAACAACAAATAGCATTACGTAGCAGCAGCGACGCAGTTGATTGGCCCTGGCTAAATCGATGATCAGTCCGATACTGACACCACGCTTTGAACGCAAAAACAAAGCATAGTGAGCATGACCGTACTCTTTTGATTTAAAACAAGGAATATTGTGATCATAAATTCGAAGAGGAGACTCATTAAAACCTAGTAGCGTCACGGAATATTTGCTAAATATACACCATTATAACAACATTTGAATAAAAGGCTTTAAAAAATGATGAAAAGATTGCTGACGTTGCATAGCGCAAAACATCAATAGCTACGACTTTGAATAGCGAAGAAAAGTAAAGAATTTCACTGTAAGGCTTTGCAGACAATTATTTAACGGAAAAGCAACAATTTCAAATAATTTCTTTTTTTTTGGAAAAAGAACTGCTTCCATGTTGGAAGCACGAACGGATTCAAAATCGTGATTGGAGCGAGACGTGAACTCGTACGAAGATTTCATTCCGGAGGCGGAGCAATTCCCACGGCTCTCACGTATTTTCGGAGCCACGCAACCGTCTCCACGTTGATCCCGGCCTCATTTTTCTTTTAACGCTTGGGAATGCACTGCGCATTTGGCATAGCTAATCTTCTCATGTTTCTAAGTTTTTCCAGTATTTCTCATTCTCCAATATTTTGGGTTTCCTACTTTTTTTCCGAAGTCTAAATTCAATGCCTTAATGTCATGGATTTGCGCCAGTTTTGATAGAAAGCGTATCAGAACCGGAAGAGTAGAACTCCAATTCAGGCATTTCGAAATGATTCTACATCTTTGAAAACACACTCATTTATCTACTTTCTTCTCAAAAGCTTCGTAAATTTGGGGGTATGGGCTGTTTATTTTAAAGTTTGTGAAATATAAGCTTGCTCCTTCTCGAGATGTGCAGAGGATCGTGATTTCGTGTTTCGATGTCTGCGTCAAGTCTAAGGTTCATACTGGTCCAAGTTCGAGAACTCTTTCAGCGCAGCGCTGGAACTGTGCGCTGCGCCAGAACTGTTCTGGAACTTACGAACCAGTGACTCAGCCGCGCCATATTTGATCCCACATCACTTCGCTTGGTCAAATCAGTCATTTGACCAATAGCGAAAGGGATGGTGGTTCAAGTAGACGTGCGCCATACGCCAGTTTCACATGCTTGTTTTTGATCAGTTCTTTTCATCATAATCTCGCAAACATTAAGCAGTGCGGTTATTATTGTTGGGCATATCCTTGGTTTCAATCATGATTTCTGTGTTACGTTAAGGAGCCCAGATATTCTCTTGAGGCACACAGTCTAGTAGATTTTCCGCTAAATATAGGGTGCTTATTTGTGCGTTAACAAATGTATAAGTCTGTCCCAATCCCAACCAGGCACAAACTGGCATGGCGGGAGTCCGTGTCGCGAGGGTATTGCGTCACGTCTGCGGCTAGCTAGTCTGCTCTCTCCTCGATCTCTTCGCTCTCTGCGACAGCGCGCGTATACAGCGCAAACCTGTGGCGCTGTGACCCCTCAAAATCAGCCGACGTCTCGGCGCCTGATTGGGGCAGACTGTAGGCGTGCCTGTAAGGGAACGGGCATAGTGTCCACGATTTCGTCGTCGCGATTTCATCGCCGGGGAAATCGGTGGTTTGGGCGACGAGATCGCGACGACGAAATCGTCCGTCGCGCGTGCATGGACATAGTGGGCGCGATTGCGTGCACTCACACGCATGACAAATTAGCAGATGCACTAGCAGGTGTCTTAAATTACACAATAAAATTTAACTCTTCGAAATCTAGCTTTTGAAAGATATTATAGATATTGAAGTATTGCGAGAAATAGCGAGATATTGAAAGACATTCAGAAAAATTTTCTCGTTAAATTCGCGATAGACTCGTTTGCAACTGCAGTTACTTCGCATTTATGCGAATTGCAAAACGTGATGATACCCACTCAAACGTGATATGCCGTACATATCTAATCTGCAAAAAACAAATGCATCGACTCCAAAATCACGAAAAAACATCAAAAAACGAACCAGCTCATATTGATTTAGAAAACAGAGAACGACGGCTTACACGGCAGTTCATAATCATGAAATGAAGACTCACTACTTCAGAAGAGAATTTCTTATTTTTCAAACAAAAACGAGGTGAAAGAACAATGCATGCGTAGAAAAAACTCTCAAGATGTCCCTCGCACCTCAGCGATATCGCCCAGTCGCCCGTGCAGCACGGCGACGCGACATCGCTGAGTTTGGCCGAAATCGCGGCGATTATCGCTGCAGAACTATGCCCTAGCTAAAAAGGGTCCGCGATCCGTCGCGCCGGACGAGTATCACAAGCGCCGTAGCAGACGCATGGACATACAACGAGTGCGTAACAGTTGTCGTAATTCGGAAATCGCAGCGCGACGGCATCGTGGACACTATGCCCTAGGCCTAATGCCGGCCATTTGGCCAAAATCTCTGCGTTAGGCCGGGCAGACTTCACGCGATTTGATCGTTGCGACTGAATCACGACGAGACAACTGTTACAACATCATTCCATGCCGATCAACTTGCATTCGGTTGTGATACTTTTCCAGCCCAAAATTTTTGAATGTGAAATGAAAATGAATGGAAATCTTGGCGATTAGATCGCGACGATTAAGTCGCGTGAAGTCTGTTTGCGGCCTTAGGTGGGTGCCAGAGTAAGCGAATATTTTGTTCAGGTTGGGGTCCCGCGCAGATTGGACGTCACTCACCATGCTGGCGCTAATCCTAGTGACGTCAATTCTGCGCGGGACCCCAACCTGAACAAAATATTCGCTAAGGCTGCGTTCATACTGATCCCGAAGTCCGGGAACAGTTTCAGCTCAGTGCTTGAGAAGAGCGCTGTGCTGGAACTGTTCTCGGACTTCGGGCTCAGTATGGGACCCGTCATACTTCGCCGAAAAAAGCCCAAAAGTTCCCAAAAAAGCCCGGAAAAGCCCGAAAGCGCCAGAAAGAGCCGGAATGTAGAAACGAACTTTTGGTAGACATTCTGACATTATCTTATCATGCGGACGACAGAAAATAACAAAAAGGCTCATTTGCGAAGTCAACACACATGCCTTAGCGCCAAAACGTGCGAGAGGTGTGCCGGCTCTTTCTGTTTTGGGCTTATTCGGGCTTTTTCGGGCTTTTTTGAGCTTTTTTGGGCTTTTTCGGGCTTTTTCGGGCTTCTTTGGGCTTTTTTTCGGCGAAGTATGACGGGTCCCTATGAACGCAGCCTTACTCTGGCACCTACCTTACCGGCGAGACTGTTCGTTTACGGGAAATACGGTCTTTGCATCACAAGCGCACGATAACCCAAAAATCTGATAGGCTGTCAGTCAGTGATCTGACCAATAGCTAAGTGAATTGCACTGAATATGGCGTGTGCCATAAACTCGCGTCCACAAAACTTGACCTTTAAGCAGAAAAGGCTTTTGTGTTTTCAGTACAACTCCATTAAAATAAAAAAAAAAACTTTTCAGACAATAAAGTCTGACCCACATTACCGAACCATGTGCGGAGAGTGGACCGTTTTGATAGTAGCTGATACTTGATGAAGGGCGATCAGTTTGTTCTGCGAAGTGGGTGCGAACGCGACGTTCGAGCATCTTTTATCAGTAGTGATGCTGGACGTCCGCGCACGCTTCGCTTACCTAGGTAGCCGCCTTCGTGTAAGAGTAGCTTTAGCAACTTTGCGGCGTGGTGCCCAGTTGGCGTTTAAAGGCACCGTCCACCCAGATTTTCGACTTCCACGTTTTTGTCATTTCAGGGTCTTCTCTTGTTCCTGATTCCGAATATGAAGTTGAGAATGCGCGAAAATCCCTAAAATCCACGTTTCGGAAAACCCACAGGCCGGCTTTCTGGAACGGTGATTGGATGGGCGCGTAAAAATGGGCGGGCATGGATGGGGGAGGGAGGGCATGGATGGGGTTCCTCGTGCATCTTTGCTATTCCGAAGCGATTTTCTTGCTTCCGAAGCGGCATTTTGCGCCGCGACTTGGGCACTGAATTGATAGGGGGCCCTACTTATTACATGCTGCCAAAACCTCAACACCCTCAACTTAGGGTGGACGGTGCATTCAATTAGATGAACGACGTCAGTGCTCGGGCGTTGATGAGCGGAGAGGTTGGTGTGGAGGTTCTTTGCAATGGATTCCATCTATGTCGGGAGAAAGTCGTAGCTCCGCCTTTGTTCGGTCGTGCTGGCGTTACGTGAAATTCTTGAGTCCCCTTCAGCACTTCACGAAACTTCGTATTTCTTCTGCTGCTGCTTCCATTCAGCCGCATGTACTACTTCTACTTCTCCTTCTAAACTTCTCTACAACTGACGTTCGCTGTTAGCCGTTCAAAAGGTGGCGTAATCAGATCCTGCCTCAGAACTCTTCCTCTTTCAAGCAACTCCTCGGTGGTCTTTGAAATGCGTGCCAAATTTTCTCAGAAGTCATTGAGACACATTTTCTGCAGGCTTGCGATTGCTAAGCCGATTATACTCGCACATTAAGTCCTTCTCGATGGGCCAGTCACTGCTTGACATGAACTCTTTCAATTTTTTTTACCAACACAAGCAACTTCTTTCCTTATAACGTCACTCAGACCGATACCTTTCAACTAAACTTTTCGCTAGAAGAAACATCGAGAAAGCCATCTTCGCTTGATGGACGTGGTCATCTCTGTGGAGGTCGTTTCATTGGGCGATTTATGTCAACCGGCGTTGTTCTTTCTTCATAAACATAGGAATTTCATGGAAATGTCATGCAGCCGTTCCGCAAACCATGTCCTGCCTGTCATCCCACTTTTTGCCTTAGAGTCGCGCAAACTAACCTGCAGAAGGAGTTCTAGTTGCGGGCGACATTGTAGCTGCCGCTAGGTTTTGTTTGGTCTTTACACTTGTAGTACCATGTTTCAGTTTGCCAGTTTCAGGATTGTTAAGTCGTTCCCGCGTTCTTTTGTCTTGATTGTCCTGATCACTTATCTCAACTGTATGCGAGCAAGAGCTGGTAGAAAAGTGAAAAAGTAAATTGAGGCACAAGGTACACAAAAGTAATTGCGCAGAACTGTGTGGACAGTTGAATCTCAATTACTATCAGACGTGTGACAACAAGTTTAGGAATCTGGGCAAAAGCAGTAGCCATACAGTCAATAATGACGTATCCATCATTGACTTGACAGAGGGATAGAGGATGTTTTGACAAGGAGATATAACGATAATGGCGCTATTCCACATTAGTTGACCCAAAAAATGAAGATCGCGCATTTCGCTGAGATTTCGTCTAGAGAGATTATTTTGCACGCTGATTACGAATATCGCATTTATTTCACATGGTACTGCCATCCGGTGGAGTTACGGCAGGAATACGGTGGGGGGGGGGTTCAAAACCACGGATTTGCTCCAAACATCGTTTGGAAGTTATTTGGCAAGCTAAACATGAGTGTCACATTGATTCCGTACAGCAGCACCAATTTTTAGGTTACGGTGGGTATACGGTAGATGATTAAAAATCCAGAATTTGCTCAAAACCTTGCCTGAAGGGGTTCTTAAGCATGCTGATTGCAGTTACCATGTTCGTTCGGTGTTACAATGTCTATTTGAGAGTTACGATGAGCTACAGTGCGTGAAAGAGCAACTTCTCCGCTTTACAGCTAGATTCCAAAAATCACGAGAAGGCTCTATCGTGCGAAGCGAGTTCGATATTCGAAAAGAGCGTACTTGGAAACCCCTCCAGGCAAAGTTTCCAGTGAATCCTGGATTTTTAGCCATCTACCGCATACCCACCGCAACCTAAGAAATTGGCGCTACCGTACGGAATGAATATGATTATCATGTTTAGAGTGCCAGATATCCCCCTAGATGAAGTTTGGGACTAATCTGTGGTTTTGACCCCTTACCGTAACCCTACCGTAACTCCACCGGATGACACTACAGTTTTTGGGTCATTTAGTAAATTTTGCAAAAAGAGCCAATAATTTAGCGTAATGTGCGCATACCATTGGAAGACGAGGAGTGCGGTAGCGGAAAACTTTGTAATTAGATTCAGCATTCCCGAAAACCTGAGTTTAACGTCCTTCAGTTTTTTTGGAATTTTTTAAAAACAGTCCTCGCCTGTCAGAAGCTTGTAATTAGTCGAAAATTCCTACCGTCCTACAGTAACTAAGGAAATTGGTGATTCACTCTATACCGTAAGTCTAAGTTGAATCCAGCTCTACCGTATGACACATAAAGATCCGCGAAAGCTTCTCATACAGGGAAGTTATTAAAGTCGAACTTTCGCATTTTTTTGGGACTCCCTGTATATTGCACCATTACAGGCCCGAGCACAGATGCCGAGAGCTACTGCGCTGATATCACGCCAAAGTCGCTGCTCGCAGCTGGCCAGGCTAGGCTCAAATAGAGGCAGTAAAGTGTGTTCACCATGAAAGAATTAATGTTAGCTACGGCGGTGATCGAAATCACACTGTCCCATGATAAATTATCGGAATGTTTCAAAAGATTTTTGTAGTCTTGATAAGTACCCAAGAACACCTTGGGATGGTAGTTTGGTACAGTTTTTCGACAAGAAAAACTTTTTTTTTAGAAGGAAAGCGCTAACCTTCTTCAAATCACTACTACGAAATATCAAAAAAAAAAAGTTTTGGCGACATAGTGCAGGCGGTGAAGTAAGGATTAGCCGAAGTAAGCAGCACCTTGCGGTGAAAGGCTTGACCATGTTAAAAAGTTGACAAGAGAGAGAGGATTAGAAGTCAATGATTTTTGTTTTATGCCTGAGAGAACGGCGAGCCGGACTTCTCTGCGGAAGTATACGGAGGGACTGTCGCGCCAGAAAGCAAAAATTCTTTCTCTTAAACCCTCCTTGTTTCTCCGTCAAGCAGTGGTGTACCCAGCATTCCGTTCGGGAGGGGGGGGGGGGGAACAGTAATTTATTCTGATCAAGATTTTATCTGATGATTTTTTCGGCATCTGCTAGGCACTCCGAAAAATTTTCTGGTATACTTTCCATTAGTTTTATGCCAATAACCTCGACATCTTAAGAAGAGGGGCGTGGTGCCAGCCATGCTAAATTGCATTTTCAAAAATTTTTAAAAATTATTTTAGTTATTTACAAGTATTTACAATTGCAATTCTCTTATCTGCGACACGCATGGTTAACATGGCAACAAGCAACAACGTGTTTGATTTAGCGGCGCTATTCCGCTATCCGGGCCCCAAAATTTTTTTGTCATGGATTTCGCTCAAACTTGGTCCAGGGGGGTTATCTGACATGCTGATCACGCGTGGATTTCGCTCAAAATCGGTGGAGGGGGGGGGGCTATTCGGCCCGCTGATGCTGAATATCATATTGGTTTTGTACCGTAGCGTCATTTCCTCGGGTTACGGTGGGTATACGGTAGGGGGTCAAAATCTCAAAATCCGCTGTAACTTCGCACGGAGGGGTTACTCGACATGCTCACGAAAATGTCTCCCTGTATGGTTACGGTAGGTTTACGGTAGAGGTTAGAATTACAAATCGGCAAATGTATCTTTCCCCTGTGATTTGCTTAGGCAAAAGCCGCAGCAGGGTGTGTAGCGCGCGGCGGTGGTCGTCGTGCAAAGCTTCACGATTGTCCGAATTGCCGTACACCCGTTACAGGTAGAACTATGTTTTACACCCGTTACCGTGTAGCTATCGTAACTCGAAGAAATGACGCTACGGTTCAAATCAATGTGATATTTGGCATCAGCGGGCAGAATAACCCCCCTCCCCAGGTCAAGTTTCAGCGAAGTCGGTGATTTTGGCCCCCTACCTACCCACCGTAACTTCCACAGGGAGGTGATTTCCTGCGGAGAAAATGTGATATTCGCGATCAGCATGTCAGATAACCCCCTGAACCATGTTCGAGCGAAATCCGTGGCAAAAAAAATTTTGGGGCCCGGATAGCGGAATAGCGCCGGTTTAGCCTATGTGCATGTCACCCAATTTACCAGGACTTGAGGCCGCTTTGCACATATTGGCTAAACAGGCTTAATCTTGTATTTAGTTAGTTTATTTTGTACGAGCTGGCAAACCCGACTCCGCCCGGTCCTGTCAATGATGTATTCTCAGCCCCCCTCCCCACTCTACACATCCTGCACACCCTGCACAACCTGCACCCGAATGTGAACAAACACACAAACTCACAGATTTTCTGCTTTATATGTAGAGCTTTAGCAGGTTCAGACTTGTAATCTCTTTCATTCAAAAATATCTGCTATTTGAAAGTGGAAAGAGCAAGCCCAGTTTGTTTAGATAATATCTGTAGAGAAAATATGTTGTTCCAGGTTGTCAATATATTAGCCATGTGCGGCGCAGCTTAAATCAGAGTAGGGTATATAGCAGCAATCCTGTAGTGCACGGTACCTAAAGCACAGTAGGGTAGCAGCAATCCTGTAGTGGACGGTACTCTTGAAACCTCAGAATAATAGTAAAAAACGGCACTCCGCTATATTGTTTTATCACAGTTCTAGGGAGAAGTCGGAACATTGAATCATGGTTTTTCTTTTCACATTCAATATCTGTGCCTTGTCTTCACTGTTTCTCAGGCTCATTTTTACCACATCATTTTATGAGAGTTTGTATAGATCTCGTTCGGAGCTCACCTTTTATCACTCATTGTTTCAGATTTTACTACCTACTTTGAAGTTTATGTAGTCGGGAAAGTGACTTGTGTCGCTCCCATGTACACCCTTTCAGCTGGACTATGGGAAAGATTTTTCAAAAAGAGGGATTATTACATTGTTATCGTGGGGTTGGACAACGTTGGGAAAACGGTTTGTTATACTCTGATTGGAAAGGAACATTCTCAATTTTGCTTTCGTTTCAGACGTTTCTGGAACAGATCAAGTCTCATTTTGTGCATGGCTATGGTGCTTTGAATCCTGCAAGAATCACCAGCACTGTTGGCTTAAATAGTCAGTCTTTTGTTTCAGTACTATTTGCGTACACCTTTGTTTAGTCGGGAAGGTGGAAATCAATAACACTTGCCTGAATTTCTGGGACCTGGGTGGACAAGAAGATCTTCGAACGCTCTGGAGCAGCTATTACGATGAAGCCAATGCCATGATCTTTGTGGTCGATGCTACGAAACGGGAACTGTTTGCAGAAGTGTCTAGTGTTTTCAGTGAGTTTGCTTGTCTCTGGACTTCTGTTGTTTTCAATGAACTTGTTTGTCGCTGGACTATCTTGTTCTTATCTATTCTTTTCAGGGGAAGTGATCTCAAATGAATACGTGCAACGGATGCCGATACTTGTAGCCGTCAATAAAAGTGAAATTGAAGGCTCAGCTGAAGCTGCCGAGGTAATGCCCACCTTTTTTTGCTTCCTTATAATCTACATTGACATTGCATTCAATCAGTCCACCTACTCAGACAAATCAGCTGAACTTCCGCAGGACAAGCCAAATTTGCAGAAGTTTCGCAGGATTTTGTTCACTACTGCAGAAATGAAAACGTTGAAAGTCGGAACTTCCGCGGGATTTTCATGCCAGAATGGTCAAAACCCGGAACTTCCGCAGAGCCTTTTTTAAAATCCTGCGGAAATTCCGAAAAATGTCAGAGGTTCTGCAGCACTTTGGCCTGCCAGAACTTCTGGAGGACTTTGAATGTGTTGTCTCGTGATGTTGCCTCGCCAGCAACTAAAATGCATTATCGAATATGTCAGCCGTAGCGTAGAGGATAGTAGATGGGTCTCACAGTCAATAGAGTAAGGTTCAAATCTCGCTTCGTGTTCTCTTTTGCTACTGTGGTTGGCATTCTTCTGAACTTCCACAGGACCTCATTCGGAACTTCCGCAGGTGACCCGGCGGAACTTCCGCAAGCGCTCTGCGGAAGTTCCGGTCATTTGTCTGAGTATGGAAAGCAGCGTCCAAGAAAGCTTGACAACAGTTTGCAAGTTATTGTGGGGCCTTAACTATCTAAGCAGAAATAACCATAGCCAAGAATTGTACCTGAACCTCTCAGCAGTAATTTTTTTGGCGGACGACTTACATTCGCTTGCATGCTTTTGCGCGGGGATCCACGACCTTAGGGACCTGTCATACTTCGCCGAAAAAAGCCCGGCGCCCAAAAAGCCCAAGAGCTCAAAAAAGCCCAAAAAAAGCCCGAAAAAGCTCGAAAGCGCCAGAAAGAGCCGAAACGCATAAACGAACTTTTGGTAGAATTCTGACATTATTTTGTCGTGCAGACGACAGAAAATGAACCAAAATCGGTTGCGAAATCAACACACATGCCGGCGCCAAAACGTGCGAGAAGCGTTCCGGCTCTTTCTGGCGCTTTTGAGCTTTTTTTGACTTTTTCGGGCTTTTTTGGGCGCTTTTAGCCTTTTTTCGGCGAAGTATGACTGGTCCCATAACGTGCCTTGTTGAAGCATATGAGCCTGCTAGATTTGAACTAGTGATTGTGCAATGAAATCACATTTATTAACAGTTTTATGCCAATAGCAAGTCACGGGGAGATAATGTTAGACTTATTGTCTACAGCAGAGATTAGCTGCAGTAAAGCGTCTGTAAACTACATCTTGAAACGCACTTTTAGTTTTATTTTCATGGAAATTCATGAACATGCACATGAGTAGGTAACTCATGGAAATAAAGTCTTCCACTTGAATGTTGCGTACATCTGTAACGTAAACAATGACTCGTAGGAAACCTCAGTCTTTTCAAGTTGCCTGAGGCGGGCCTAAGTACACTTTCCGGCGCCACAGCTTAGCATCAGTCGTGCCAATGAGATGCGGATCGCTTTGTAACATGCGTTTTCAACGAAGGAACATCCTCGTTATTTGTACAGTCTTGGTTGGCACGGCCGTGGTTCGAAATCACTCAGCTGCAACATTTTTGCTACATGACCCGGCTTTGATACCGACCACCATAGAGCATCAACATTACGCCAGACCACGTCCCTTCCGCGAACACAAATCATTCTATGACGCCTCGTTTTCCCAAACTATTTTTATGGGATGTTAAAATTTTGAGGTCCGGCATATCTTACACGATGAAGAGCATATTGGAGATTTGGCCGTTCTACCTGTATCAGCCCTTGAAGGCACAAATATCGATAGATGTGTACGATGGATAGTACGAAGTCTAGCTAGCGAACCCCTGTATCTCTAGTATATCTTTGCGAGTACCCAAATCATCTTCATTTATGAGTGTTTGTTGTAGTAAATCATAACCATATCACGTATGAGCTCCGCCATCTTCATTTGATAATTTCAAACTTCCTTTGTTAATCAATCTAGTGGCAGTGGACTACAAAATTTACTTTTCCTATTTGTGACTGTACCACTTATATTTTTTGTTGTTGCTGAGCCGAATGTACGGGTATTTATATTTGTATTTGCTTTGAGGCAGCGTCCAGGCAGGTATAAACGGTTTCGTTTCGGTATCGCAGGCAGCAGAACGTGAACAATACGTCTTTTTTACCTGGTGGTAGATGATGAAGTTTTTGGCGACAATGCGCCAGGAGCGAATTTAGCAAAGAAGTCACATACGACAAAGGGCATCACACCTAAGTTTGATTGCACGAATTGAGTAGTCTACGCAACGATCCTTCATGGTAATGTATGTGATTTGGAAACCCTCACCATCTGTAAGTTACATAAGTATAATAGTATATAGTACCAGCTGGCTTACCCGGCTTCGCCCGGCCCTGTCAAAACACTATGATAAAGCTCTCATCCGTATCCCTGTACAACCTTCCCCTTGCCCACGTCTACATACCAATTCCCTATTCCCGCTGTATTAGAAATCAGCATGCTGGATTTCTTTTTGTGCCAACTCCCAGCCTCGTAGCTCAAATTTTGCAAAAAGATCAACAAAATCGATAAAATTAATCGATAATTCCAGAAACCAATATTGTATTCGTAATCAGCATGCTCGATTACCCCCCTGTGCCAACACTTAGGCCCTTAGATCAAACTTTGCAAAAAATCGATAACAATCGATAAAATCGATACCGATCGATGACAAAAAGTAGCTTATGACACCCGCCTTGCCCCGAGATGTACGTGTGCCAAGTTTGGTCCAGATCGTTTGAGAAATGGAATTTCCTATTCGGAACATACATACAGACATACAGACAGACAGACACTCAGACAATCGCCGGGGACAGGCGGACACCGGAAAAATAGATGGCTGATTTCTTGCACCCCACTCGCGAATTTTTTGGAAAGCAATTAGGACTTTTCGGAAGACCGCTTGCTGAGTTCTCGATTCCTCAGAGATTCAGCAATATATCTGCAAAAGATAAGAGCGAAAAAGCAGGCGGTCTCTCAAAAAGCCGCTGACTCAGCAAGCGGTCTTCCGAAAAGTCCTGATTGCTTTCCAAAAAATCCGCGAGCGGGGTGCAAAAAATCAGCCATCTATTTTTCCGGTGCCCGCCTGCCCCCGGCGATTGTCTGAGCAGACATATAGACAGACATTTAGCTTTAACTTACCTTAGCGGCGGGCCTATTTCGCCGATATTAATAGCTGGGGAAGCTAATACATTCAGATTGGTAAACGAGGCCACATTCTGCGCAGTCTCCAGTTTTTCCATAAGGGCACACTACCCAATCTCGTATAATACAAGCACTATAAAGTTCTGTTACGGACGAAGGCTTGTTCCAGACTGCCGCACTGGCTACAGCAGGCCACACCGACCGCAGGACTGCAGCAGGCTGCAGCAGACTGCAGCCTGCTGCGGCTGACTGAAGCTGACCGCTGGTCGCTGCCTCCTTTTGTCAAAGAAAAAAACAACTGCAATTACGTCGAAACACGGAGACGCCTGAGGAACATCATAGACTCTAATTTCACTCTGCTCAATCAAATTTTGGCATTTTTTCATGAATTCACGAAAATTCACCTACGGAATCGCGATTATTGTAAGCGAAATCCGAAACCACAATTTTTCTAGGTGTCATTCAAGGTGTTTAGGCCGACGCGGTAGTTTTTTCTAAGCGAACATGCGTCGGCCTTTGCGCTCAGTGCGTTCAGCTCCGGTCTGCTGCAGTCTGCTGCGGTCAGTGCGTCAGTCCGAAATAACCCTAACTATTTTTTTCTTTCGCCAACTGTGCTTGTACGAGGATTGTTTAATTGGGGCAGTGACTCACGAAATGAAATGCAAGCACAGAGGTACCCTGTCAATGCTCTGTTCACTTGCCTTTTTTGGGGTTCTTCTTGAACGTTTGGGCTGCAATATCCATTTGAAGTCATAATCGTAGCTGCCATTTTTGAAAGATTCAATTCTTTCACTTCTGCCACTATTGATATTCTTTCCCGTTTCAAACGTTGTGTATGACAGCTCGTTTTACGGTCATCGGATGCGCGGAATCTGCGTGCAGAATTATGTTTTTCTTACTCTCTTACGATAATCTGATGCTAACTTTCATTCATCATCAGTTGCTTATTCAAGAAAGGGAGCTACTCGCGCGGTTTTTCTCTTGAAGGCAGCGTCCCACTAGATTGGGGGTACCTTGCTCTGGATGAAGTCTATAAATCGCCTTCCAAGTGGCCCACGGTAGCCCCGAATGCCTCCCAGAGATCAATTCCGAACTGAAAGGCCAAAGCACGCATAGCGCACAGAGTCATGAGTGCAGGGTTCCACAACGACTCTGCGTCTCTACCTTGTCATGAGTGCAGGGTCCCACAACAGTGCATTTCGTACTCGCCCAAGCCTACCGTAAGCGGGCCACTAGGGGGTCTACTGTTACATTACTACCAGAGTCAGGTACCCCCCCAGTCTGGTGGGACCCTGCCTTCAAGCTTATGTACTGCTATTGTTGTTTAGTATTTTGAAGCACTCGTACATTTCGGGCTTTGTAGATGTTACAATACAAAATATCGTCAATATACCTGCAAAGCATAAGCCCTGGGCAGAGCTCACGCGACGAAGTCGCGCAATCTCCAGTCGCGACGCTTGCACGAAAGTGGCGACTGGGACGCGACGACTGAGTCGCTCAGTCGCGGGAGGCGTGCATACCTCCGACGCGATTTCATGCAATTGCAAACACTTCACACATTGCACGTACTCTAATTCATTAGTGAAAACCAGTGCTCTCGTTAACTTTACTAAATCATTATTATTCAAAAAAGGTGTAGCAGCAGACAAAGGAAGTTTGGAAGTTTATCACATTAGAATCAGACTTGATAACAATCACAACGTTATGCACCCAAATGATCAACGATAAAAGGAAAAGTCAGCGATATTGTGGTTCTGGTAAAAGGCTCATAATCAAATGAATGTTGGGAAGCATTAATTACAATAGGGAAGAAGTACCAGCAAGGCACAGTGGCTGCGGACACTTCGAAGGAACCGTTACGCGGCAAAACGATGTTTTCAGCTCTAGAAGCGTCCCCCATGTGCTGCACATGATAGACGAAAATACTGTTATCATCTCATGCGAAGCTTATATTTCGGAGTTACGTAGACTGTGAGCACATTCTTCAAGTATTCGATGCGCAGTCGAACGGGGGGTGGCTTGTTACAGATCTCTTTGGCAGCCTAGGATATGAGATATAGGGAAATCTGTATTGAAAGACAGGAAAAATTGCAAAATGAGACTAACTGCCCTCATCAAACAAAGAAAGGATAGGCATAACTTGGCATTTGCAACAATTCATGCAAAAACACTCATAACGTGCAAAAATAGCAACTTACTACAAAAACATCGAAAAAGCAGTTCAGGATCGGCGCGACGGTCGCCCCGTCGCTCGCCGCAAACGAGCGACGCGACATCGCGCCGATTCGGCAAAATCGCGACGATATCGCTAGGTGAGCTATGAACGCCGAAAAGTGTGGCGCGATCCGTCGCGCCACGTAGCCATCATAAACGCGTCGGGACCCACACACTACACGGCGGTGCATGGTACACTTGTCCAAAATGATAGGGCGCGACGCGACGAAATCGCATGAGCTCTGCCCAGGGCTATAAACGGGTTTTTGAATAGTACATGTTGTTCTATCTTGCTCATAAAGAAGATTGCTAATACGGGTTACGGGCGCTAATTTTTGACTCATTGCTAGCCCTCTAATCTGCGCGTAATACTTCCCAGACCATTTGAATCGAAACGCGCATACTCTCCTTGCTCGAACTGCAACGTATGTCTGCAAAACTTGTAAGATACAACCACTTGTCAGCTGTACCAACAGACCACGGGTCGATTGTGTCGAAGCAGCTACCCAACAGCTGCTCGTGATGGAGATTGCCTAAGATAGCGAACCTCTGGCAGTGAATTCCGCCCGCCGGCAGGAGCCGGTGCTCTCTTCCCCCTTTCCCTTTCCCCTTCTGCATAGTTTGTATAATAAATATTAGAGTAAGACTAATGTAACCCCGCTACACATCAAGTAAAGGACTCGCGAACCTTTATCCTGACACGTTGGTTGGTTATCCAACCCGCCTAAACAATTTTCTACTCGATCGATAAATTTGAGGTGGTACCGAGGTTGAAGATCTTTATATCTCGCCTTATCACGTGTACTCTTAACACACGTAACTCGGAAGACGTTCAACAAAAGCCAAACAAGCTCGAGGACGAGCTTTCTGAAGAAGTGGAGATGTCGAAACGTAGCTATTACTCAACAGCTGCTCGCGATGGAGGTTGCCGTAAGATAGCGAACCTCTGGCAGTGACTTCCGCCCGCCAGCGGAGCCGGTGCTCTCTTCCCCCCTTCCCTTTCCCCTTCTGTATATAGTTTGTATAACAAATATTATAGTAAGATTAATGTAATCCCGCTGCACATCAGGTAAAGGACTCGCGAACCTTTATCCTGACAATTGTTTTTGGTTTATTGTTAAAATTGTCAGCCAATTTTTGAAAATACCGGCCCACTTGAGCACGACCTATTAGATACGCCAAAAGAGATTTGACGAGAATCGTTGTGCGTATGAGACGTTCAATGTTAACTCCGAGTCTCGGAGTTAACATTGAACGTCTCGGAGTCCGAGAGTGTGCTTGAAAAGTCATAAAAGTGCATTTCCGACGTCTTCGGCCCTGGAGATTGCTGAAGGAACTGGGCGAGGGATTGTCGCCAAAAAAAGCGACTGGCTACAGGATACTGTAACTTCACCCATTTTGGCGGCATTTGGCTTCGGCTCAGGCAGCCAATACGACTCAGTTGGTGATCGCTCGCCCACCCCCTCCAGCAATCTCCAATACTAGAAAACTCCATGAAAAACACTATTTCCACTTCCCACAGCCTTGGACTCAGCGCATCCAGAAGGTCAGGAGGGACGGAAAGCTCTTAATTGCAATTTTCTAGAGATGCCTTTGAGACAAAACGCGGCAGTTAGATTTTGAACAACCTCTGCACTCGCTGAACGTGAGTAAATGTGACTAATATCGATACCATTATCTGTGTGAGGTTATTTTCTTAAATTGGCAATCCAGAGGCCGTAT